GAGCCTGCTTCTCTTCTCCCTCTGCCTGTGTCTCTGCCTCCCCTCCCCCTGTGTTTCTCATGGATAAATAAATAAAATCTTAAAAAAAAATAAAGTTTTATTTATTTAAGTAATTTCTATACCCAATGTGGGGCTAGAACTCACAACCCTGAGATCAAGAGTTACACACTCTTCCCACTGAGCCAGCCAGGTGCCTCTAGAATAAGCAAGAATATTTTAAAGAAGCCTTAACATGTGACTTGGTGGCTGTGTGGCTATAATGTATTGTTAAATTACTTTTGCAGAATCTCAACAAATAGATCAGCAAGTTATGCTATTTCACAGGGGGTAAAATGAGGCTGGGACTGACTTATTCAAGAGCCCAGATCTTGTGCTATTCGCTACAGTAGTCATTAATGATCTGTGGCCATTGAGTAATTGAGATGTGGCCAGTCCAAATTAGGATGTGTAAATCACACACTGGATTTCAAAGACTTAGTATAGAAATAAAGGTGGCAAAATATGTCAATACCGGTTTATAGTTATGTATGTACGTATGTATTTATTTATAAAAGATTTTATTTATTCATGAGAGACACATAGAGAGAGGCAGAGACACAGGCAGAGGGAGAAGCAGGCTCCCTGCAGGGAGCCCGACATGGGACTTGATCCTTGGGATCACGCCCTGAGCTGAAGGCAGATGCTCAACCGCTGAGCCACCCAGGTGTCCCCATAGATGGCCTTTATCAGGTTGAGGAAGTTCCCTTTTACTACAAGTCTTTTGAGTTTATGCTTTTTCTGAGCTTATGAGATGATTATGTGGTTGTTGTCCTTTATTCTTTTGATACAGTGGATTATATTATTTGGGTTTCAGATGTTAACACAAGCCTGCGATCCTGGGATAGATTCTACTTGATCATATTACAATCCTTTTTATATGTTGCTAGATTTGCTTTGCTGGTATTGTTGAGGGTTTTTATGTCTTTATTCATAAGAGGTATCGGTCTGACGTTTTCTTGTGGTATCTTTGTTGGGTTTTGGTATTTTGCATTAGATTTATATTGAATGGTGCTGCTCTAATTTCTAATGTGGCGGCTTTTGTACTGCGCTCTGCTAACTTCAAACATCAGAAGTTCAATGAGATTACCTTGGCCAAGTCAAGCTGACGGACTTTGCTGGACACATTCTCGGCTAGGTTGCAGGTAAAGGTGATCATCCCAGCTAGCTGCTTTGCATCTCCTTCAATCAACTGCAGGTTGGGACTGGAGACACATGTCAGCACACACATATCCATAGGGGCAGGTCAGAGTAAGAGATAGAAAATTTTTTTACAGATGGTGACTATGATTTCTACTGTCTTCGTACCTTCTCACAACTTTTAGCTCAGTTCACTCTACTCACAGCTTTTTCTAAAGAGTATTTTACTGAAACTCAGGCCTATACTAAATAAAAAAATTACTTTTATATACTAAAGACTCCCCTAAATAGGTACTGCTAAAGAACTAGAGAACAAATACTCCCCACTGTGGAGTATAAAATACACTAACTAACAATCAAAGAGAGTGATGAGGTTAAAAGAGCAATTTTTATGACTAGCAAATACACAAAGTTTGTAAAAACAGGGATCCCTGGGTGGCGCAGCGGTTTGGCGCCTGCCTTTGGCCCAGGGCGTGATCCTAGAGACCCGGGATCGAATCCCACGTCAGGCTCCCGGTGCATGGGGCCTGCTTCTCCCTCTGCCTATGTCTCTGCCTCTCTCTCTCTCTCTCTGTGACTATCATAAATAAATCTAAAAATAAAAAATAAAAAAAAAAAGTTTGTAAAAACAGTGGTTCTCAAAACTTGAACCACACATCAGGATCACTTGGTGTGCTTGTGAAAAGCTTGTCAGATTCCCAGGTTCTACCCCCAGTTTCTTTCTGGTTCAGTAGGTTTTGAGTAGGGCCTCATAATTTGCATTTCCAACAAGTTTCCCAAAGATTCTGGTACTTACTGGTCCGAAGACACTTTTAGAACCATGTGACTATGCATACCTTAAGTATTTACTTAACCTTGAAATAATCCTCAAATTTCAAAATTAGATGGCATTTTATAATAGAAAGTTAGGAAAAACAGGAATTTATCCAGCAGAACTTGTTGGAATTACAATAGGTCTTGCTGAGAGGGAGACTCACCCCATTCGGTGGAGAGTAACCATTTTACTTTCAATGGTGTTTTGCTGTTCCAAAAGAGCATCCAGTTCTCTCTCCACCACTTTCTGAAACACAATCAAGCATTTTGTCATCAGAATGGTCAGAAGAAACCTTTTTTTTTTTTTAAGATTCTATTTATTCATGAGAGTCAGAGAGAGAGACATAGGCAGAGGGAAAAGCAGCAGGCTCCTTTTGGGGAGCCTGATGTGGGGCTCAATCTCTGGACCCTGGGATCATGACCTGAGCCGAAGCCAGACGCTCAACCACTGAGCCACTCAGGCGTCTTAATCAGAAGGAACCTTAAGAGTTATCTAACTCAACCACTTAGCTGAAGGGTGAATCCCATTTCAAATGTCTTTCACTTAATTCTCTTCCAACTTAAACAAACAATACTTCATTTTTGTATTTATCACATTGTATAATGATTGATACCTTCTGTATATTTTATTCTCTTCTAGCAGATGAATACCACAAAGGAAGGAAATAAACTCTTATTCAATATAGTTAGCATAGTATCTAACACAGGAAGGCATCTAAAATATGCCTAGGGCAGCCGGGTAGGTCAGCGGTTTAGCACTGCCTTCAGCCCAGGGGGTGATCCTGGGGATCGAGTCCCAGGTCAGGCTCCCTGCATGGAGCCTGCTTCTCCCTCTGCCTCGGTCTCTCTCTGTGTCTCTCATGAATAAATAAATAAAATCTTTAAAAATATATATATAGGGCAGCCCCGGTGGCGCAGCAGTTTAGTGCCGCCTGCAGCCCAGGGCGTGATCCTGGGGACCCTGGATCGAGTCCCACATTGGGCTCTCTGTATGATGCTTGCTTCTCCCTCTGCTTGTGTCTCTGCCTCTCTCTCTCTCTCTGACTCTATGAATAAATAAATAAAATCTTTAAAAATATATATAATGCCTAAACAAATGAAACTTTCAAAGTGGTAGTTACAAAAAGTCTCTTCATAGTGTACAGTTAGTACCCAGAAGGGATAAATACATAATCCTCTCAGCCAAGTTATATGCTGCATTACTGGAACTGACATTAACCTTAAATGTTTGACTTTCTTCATCTGTAGAATGTAATACATATCCTATAGGACTGCTGTATGAGCCAAACAAGGTAACAAACATAAAGTGCTTAACATAGTATGTGAAATATTGTTCATTAATAGCCATCAATATCAGTTATACATTTCTATTAAAATAATTCAGTAGGATTCAGAGGGAAACTTCCCCTTTGACATTCATCAAATACAAATACAGAACTAATATTATTCCATAAGATGGTCTTAATTTCACCTTAAACATGGACTCGATGAATGCACGCGTAGTACTGTTGGGAGTACTGAACTTTATAAAGCACAACTTGCTGAAAAAAATGTTATCAAACTGCTCGAGTTGGTGCACGTTAATATTTGAAAATATTCTTAGATATCAATAATCCCCTCTCCCTCCTGCTGCCTTTTGTACTCAATTAAATCTTCATTAAAAGTCTTGTTTCGGGGGGATCCCTGGGTGGTGCAGCGGTTTAGTGCCTGCCTTTGGCCCAGGGCGCGATCCTGGAGACCCGGGATCGAATCCCACGTCGGGCTCCCGGTGCATGGAGCCTGCTTCTCCCTCTGCCTGTGTCTCTGCCTCTCTCTCTCTCTCATAAATAAATAAAAATTAAAAAAAAAGAAGTCTGGTTTCGGGAACAGCTACCAGCTCTTTTAGATCAGAGCTTGGATCTCTCTCTTCTGAGTGGCAAAGAACCCAAATGATTTTAAAAAATATATTGATAGCATCAGGTTGCCACGGAAAATGGAGGTTGCAAGCCATGTTCCTTATCTGACACAATGCAGAGGTGCAAGAGGTGAAAGGGACTAGTCCAAGATCAGACATTGTGCCTGTCTTAAGACCTCAAGCTTCTACAAACCTGTGCGTTTACCTAAACGCTTAACTACCTAAATTGCATCCCCAAAAGTCTCAAAACGCTTCAAGTTTATTTGCGATGACTTCCTGCTTAACTGAGGTAACACGGTGAAAGCCTTTCATAATTTTTTTTTGCGTTTCATAATTTTTATATTGCTAAGTCAGTGCAAGACTTATTTACTTATTCTTATTTCGAGAAACAAGCGAGTTGACATACGCTGTCAGTCTAACTGCTCTGGCCAAGAAATTTCCACCAAGGGCCTGGGCAATCAAGGGGAGCGAAGCAGATCGCCAGATAACAGGGAAAACAAGCTTAGGGACATCAGACCAAGCGAACAGAGATGTCACGTCCCCCCTAATAGGCTCCACTACACTCCTTTTTCAGTTTATGCTTTTTTTTGTTCCTCAGCAAAGGCAGAGAAAGAACTTCCCACAGCCCGGATTTCCCACGACTGACGGCTCCTACCCACTGCCCCGGGCTCAGCCCCACACCTCCTCGCCGCAGAGCCGTTCGTATACAGCCTCCAGCTCCTGCAGCTCGGTTAGGGAGCGAATGAGCTCGGTGGAGATTTCCGAGCAGCGGCCTCCTCCCATCCCCTCAGGCAGAGAAACCCCTGACAGCTTCTGAGGGGAATCGAGATCCGCCATCTTGGTTCCCATTTCGCGCTTCCGGCCCCGCGAGGCCCCCAGCCTCGTTTGAGCGCCAGGTCTTTGCGGCTGCCCAAGAAAATGCCCGATGGATTTATGTGTAGTTTTCTTTCTTTAAGTCCACTTTAAAGGGCGTATTTGTTTTCTGTTCTCCTGGGAAAAGTGAAAGCCATAAGGTATGTTTAATTTTCAGTGTAGAGTCGAAGAAAGAAACATTAAAAAAAAAAAATATATATATATATATTCTTCAGGCGCTGGCTGGGGACTTTTTATACGTCGCGCGCCAGGCGGAAGGTCCCTGCCTTAAGAGCTAATGGCGAACGCCGGCTGGTTGAAGGTGGCGGTGGCTTAGGCCTTGAAGGAGCTCAGCATCTGTCGGATATCGACGCCATCCTTCCTGCTGCAGGGTAAAGAAGCAGCTTCCAAACTTCCCCGGGCCTGGGGAGGCAGAGAGCGGTCAAGCAGGAGGGTTGGCGGAGCCTTTGGTCGGGTCTTTGAAGCAGGGTAGGCCCGTAAGGTGCCGGCAAAGCGGGGAGGTGGAGGGGAACGCTTGGGTCGAAAACGGTTTCCAGGAGTCCTCTCCCACTTCCGTTTCAAAGGTGGGAGCGAAGCTTGGATCAAAATAAGACTTCTGGAAATTGCCCAGCTCCTAGGCTTTGCGGGAGGTGAGGGAAGGGGCGGGATGGACGTACACGACACCAGCTGTAAGGTGGAAGGATCTAGTGTGTTGAAAGCGTAAATAACGGAAACCGTTTTTGGTGCCAAGACCGACCCACTTTTGAATTCGTGCTTTGGTACTCGGGCAGCTGTTTCAGTGATTTTCAGCTTTCTCATTTGTAAAGTGGGGGACAGTAGTATCTGTTTTGAAGACTTCGCGAGGTTTGAATGCGATGACGTTCCTTTGGCACAAGGAAAAGGGGGCGGAGGCAGCAGTTAGAGGCGCAATTCGTGGCGATCACAGACAGGATTGCCGGGAAATCATATTTACCAAGTTTTGGCCGTTAGGGGTTCCTGGTATATAGCTCTTGTGATTTTGTGCTGATCTTCCTCCAAAAGGCAACTTCTCCCATTACCTGATTAAAAAAAAAAAAAGAATAGCTGAGGAACCTGAATCCAAGTAGGTTTGAATTCTGCAGGCTGTAATGGATGCCTGCAGTTCTAAAAGGAACTGGAAAGTAGATGGAGTTCTTCAGGAGTTACAGAGAATGAAGAGTAGTAGGCTGGAAACTTTTACGGGCTTCAGAAGTGGCCTGTGGTTTCCTCTTTATTTTTCTTTCTTATTTCTTTATTTATTTATTTATTTATTTATTTATTTATTTATTTATTTATTTATTTATTTATTTTTTTAATGATAGTCACACAGAATGAGAGAGAGAGAGGCAGAGACACAGGCAGAGGGAGAAGCAGGCTCCATGCACCGGGAGCCTGACGTGGGATTCGATCATGGGTCTCCAGGATCGTGCCCTGGGCCAGAGGCAGGCGCCAAACCGCTGTGCCACCCAGGGATCCCAGAGAGGGAAAAGCAGGCTCCATGCAGGGAGCCCGATGTGGGACTCGATCCCGGGTCTCCAAGATCAGACCCCAGGCTGCAGGCGGCGCCAAACCGCTGCGCCACCAAGGCTGCCCTTCTTTTTTCTTTTTAAAGATTTTATTTATTTATTCATGATAGACACACGGAGAGAGAGAGAGAGAGAGAGAGAGAGAGAGAGAGAGAGAGGCAGAGAGACAGGCGGAGGGAGAAGCATGCTCCATGCAGGGAGCCCGACGTGGGACTCGATCCTGGGACTCCAGGATTACACCCTGGGCCTAAGGCGCCAAACTGCTGAGCCACCCTTTTTCTTCTTTTAAATAGCAATTTCTTTCTTTTAGTTTAGTCAGTCGTGCCACATGGATCATGTTGACATAATAGGGCTTTATTATGTTTTCTTGTTGATAACTGCAGTTTTGAAATTGTTTGAAATTTTATAACCGCAGCAGGTTGTGATAGAATAATTTAGCTTTGAGAATCACATTCCCTCCTTTTTTTTTGATTGAAGTATAGTTGATCACATAACTGCTTTGCAAATCAGAGCCCTTACAACATATTCTTTGCCTCTTTTTCTTCAATTTTAAGCTGAGAACAACTTTCCCTGGAACTTCTGTAGAGTGTATAACTGCTAGGGATGCGAGTATGTCTGTGTCTTTGAGAGTGCGTTTTCTTAATTTTTCTCTTTGTAGGTCATTTCTCCAAATGCCCTCCTTTTTTCATCTCAACTTTTCTTTTATCTCTACTATTCTAGAATAAAGTTAAAGATGTTTCTTAATTTCAAGAAGGAAAATTTATACCTCTCAGGACCCGTTTCCAAAGTGGAGGGTTTGATATTTTCCTACTTTATTTTATTTATTTACCTTTATTTATTCACGAGAGACACAGGCAGAGGGAGAAGCAGGATCCATGCAGGGAGCCCGATATGGGACTCAATCCCAGGACTCCAGGATCACGCCCTGAGCAGATGCTCAACTGCTGAGCCACCAAGTGTCCCTATTTTATCTTTAAAGATTTTATTTATTATTTGAGAGAGCACAAGCAGAGGGGTAGGGGTAGAGGGAGAGAGAACCTCAAGCAGACTCCCCTCTGAGCAGGGAGCCCAATGCGAGACCTGATCCCAGGACCTTGGGATCTTGACCTGAGACAAAGGCAGACTCTTCACCTACTGAGCGAGCCACCCAGGTGCTCCAGTCTTTTCCTCTTCTAACCATTTCTGGGCTGGGCAAAAGCTGGATGACTATTACTGTTATTATTATTATTTTTTAAAGATTTTATTTATTTATGAGAGAGAGAGAAAGGTAGAGGCAGAGGCAAAGGAAGAAGCAGGCTCCCTGCTCCAATGTTGGACTCGATCCCAGGACCCTGGAATCATGACCTGAGCCAAAGGCAGACACTCAGCCACTTAGCCATCCAGGCGCCCAGGTGACTATCATTTATGAAGCTGTTCACTCATAATTCTCTTTTCTCACTTAAAACAAATCTTTTGTGTTAGTTACACAGTGATTACTTTGGATTTTTCAAGACCTCTAATTGAAAAATAACTTTCATGGCAGTAATTGTATAGTTGTAGTTCTGGGTAATTTTATGGTAAAGGTACATTAGTTTGCAGTCTTAACAGTCTTGTTTAATGAAAAGAATCCTTTTATGTGATTGTATAGAGAGGCCTCCTGAAATAGCAGGAATTGAGTTTTGTTTCCGTTTTTTTTTTTTTTTATGGTGAGTAGATGCAAATTTTAAATTCTAATTGTCAAATACTGTGCTAGATAAGAGATGCAAAAGGAAACTACACTTAACAGTTTTATCTGTTAGATTAGCAAAAGCCTAGTTGTGCAGAAATAGAGGCTCATGCATTTCTGGGGATATAGATTGTTAGAATTTCTTTGTAAGGTAATTTGGTAATATTTGTCAATATTTCGAGTGTATGAGTCCATCAATCCAGCAATTTCACTTCTAGGGATTAATCTTAAAGATATAGTCATACAGGGACACCCTAGGTGGCTCAATGGTCTGCCTTTGGTTCAGGTCGTGTTCCCGGGGTCCTGGGATCGAGTCCTGCATCAGGCTCCCCATAGGGAGCCCGCTTCTCCCTCTGCCTGTGTCTGTACCTCTCTGTGACTCTCATGTATACGTAAATAAAATCCTAAAAAAAAAAAAAAAGATATAGTCATACATGTATAAATGATTTATATAGGAGGGGTTTTATTTCTCTCTCTTTTTTTTAAGTTTTTATTGGGGCACTTGGATGGCTCAGTTGTTAAGTGTCCAATTCTTGATCTCAGCTTAGATCTTGATCTTAGGGTCATGAGTTCAAGCCCTGTGTTGGGCTCCATGCTGGGCATGGAACCTACTTAAAAAACTTAAAGGGACACCTGGGTGGCTCAGTGGTTGGGCATCTGCCTTGGGCTCGGGATGTCATCCTGGTCGGGATGTCTCTGGGTCGGGGATTGAGTCTTGCATTGGGCTTCCTGCGAGGAGCCTGCTTCTTTTCCCTCTGCCTATGTCTCTGCCTCTCTGTGTCTCTCATGAATAAATAAAATCTTACCAAAAAAATTACAGTTTTTTTTTCTTAATCTCTACACCTCGTCTGTGATCAAACTCACCACCCTGAGATCAAGAGTTGCACACTCCTCCACCTGAGCCAGCCAGGTGCCCCAGTTGAGGGGTTTTCTTTGCAGCAGTATTCATAATAGTGAGATTGGGAACCTAAATGATTATCAGTAGGGTATTGGCTAAATTCAGTGAAGTACTCCATGGCTGGAAAATGAAAATGAGAAAGCTCTTTGTTGCTATTTTCAAAGTAAAGTAATAAAAAGTAAGTTGCAGGATAATATGAGGGAGCCTGTAATATGTAGTATTCAACCACTAGTTAAAAAGGATTAGTGTTAACATATTTTTGTGAAAATATCTGGAAGAACATATAACTAAATAAAATTGATTTTCTTGGGGAGGAGAACTGAATGGCTAGGGAATGGATAGAAGGAGCTTTTTGCTGTGTTTTTAAAGAATTCTCAACCATGTTTGTATAGCCTATGCAATCATAGGTACATGTAGAGCTCCTTAGTTTCTGTGACAGTAAAGGTAAAGAGAGTTCTTTTTTTTTTTTTTTTTTTTTTTTTTTTTTTTTTTAATTTTTATTTATTTATGATAGTCACAGAGAGAGAGGGGCAGAGACACAGGCAGAGGGAGAAGCAGGCTCCATGCACCGGGAGCCCGACGTGGGATTCGATCCGGGGTCTCCAGGATCGCGCCCTGGGCCAAAGGCAGGCGCCAAACCGCTGCGCCACCCAGGGATCCCGGTAAAGAGAGTTCTATTAATGGTACAGCGCCTGGGGGTGTTCAATTGGTTAAGTTTGCCTACTGCTCAGGTCGTGATCCAGGGTGCTGGGCTCAATCCCAGGATCAGCTCAGTGGGGAACCTGCTTTTCCCTCTTTCCTCTGCCTGTGTTCATGGACATGTGTGTGCGTGCATGCATGTGTACGCTCTCTGTCAAGTAAATCTTTTTTTTTTAAAGATTTTATTTATTTATTCATGACAGAGAAAGAGAGAGGCAGAGACACAGGCAGAGGGAGAAGCAGGCTCCATGCCAGGAGCCCGATGTGGGACTTGATCCCAGGTCTCCAGGATCTCGCCCGGACTGAAAGCGGGGCTAAACCTCTGGGCCACCGGGGCTGCCCTCTGTCAAGTAAATCGTAAAGAATGAATACTGGTACAAATCCTAAGATTTTACTGCTTGTTATTAATTTGACAGGTGATTTAATTTCTTAATTTGTTCATCTATATATTATATATAGTATGATAATGAGTTATTTATAGGTTCCATTTATTTATTTATTTATTTATTTATTTATTTATTTATTTATTTATTTATTTATTTATTTTATGATAGTCACAGAGAGAGAGAGAGGCAGAGACACAGGCAGAGGGAGAAGCAGGCTCCATGCACCGGGAGCCCGATGTGGGATTAGATCACGGGTCTCCAGGATCGCGCCCTGGGCCAAAGGCAGGCGCCAAACCACTGCGCCACCCAGGGATCCCTATTTATAGGTTCCTTGAGGGAATAGAGGCAAAGTATACAGCATAGTCCCTGGTATATAGAATACTTTCTAGTTATAAATCTGTTGTTAGTCAGTAAGCCTTACTCTGGGTTCTGCCTTCACCCTGAAGTTCCTATATAGAAACGTCTGTTGGACTCCTGGGTTGCTCAGTGGTTGAGTGTCTGCCTTTGGCTTGGGTTGTGATCCTGGAGTTCTGAGATCGGGTCCCTCAGCGGGCTCCTCGTGGGGAGCCTGCTTCTCCCTTTGCCTGTGTCTGCCTCTCTCTCTGTGTCTCTTGTGAATGAATGAATGAATAAATAAATAAATCTTAAAAAAGTAATTGTTAAAGTAAGTTTCTCAGCTGATATTTTTCTGCTTTTAGGTCCTCTTAGCTTATTTTGACTCAATATAACTGAGGCCTGATTGTGGAGTTGTGAGTACCTTGGTGCTGCTCCCATCATGTTTCTATACAACTTGACCTTGCAGCGAGCCACAGGCATCAGCTTTGCCATTCATGGCAACTTTTCTGGTAAGATTTCTAGTTACTGTCTTTCTGAATTAAACATGTTCAAGATTAAATAGTTTCATGCTTCAGATTCCATTTCCAAATTCAAACTTTTTTCCTGAAATAAATTATAGAGAAAGTATCTTTATTCATCAGACAACATCATTTATATAATGCTTTACAGTCTCCAAAGCCATTTGAAGTACTTGATCTTATTTGATTCTGAGGGGACCATTGGGAAGGTGACCTGATAAGTAGTGGCCTTGAGCAAGTGAGAATGGATTGGGATGGATAAGAGTGGGATATCTGATAGGCTAGGAAGGCATTTAGACATTAGGTAGTAAAGACCTGTAATAGGAAAGTGGGGACAGATCGAGAAGAATATGAATTTCCAGCCTGGGCGGCAGAGAAAATGATAGTAACATTGATAGCAGGTTAGTTGGGACTAGAGAGGGAGTTTGGGAAGAAGGAATTTAGTTATTTTAAACCAGTTAAAAGTCGATGATGACAACATATCCAAGTGGAATTTTGTAGCAAACAGGGAGAGATGGGGGAAAATTGTTTATTAAGCATTTAGAAGTATCAATAATGGTTATGAAGGCAAGTGAACTTTCTTAGGACTGACTTTAGAAGTAAATTATATATTTTACATAACAGCTTTAAAAGTTGTTTGAAATAATCCATCAAATTGCACAAAAAGTTAAAATGATTTTCTAGAACAATAGCCTTAAAGATGAGCTAGAAAGAGCCTTTGGAAATACTTAATTTTATGAAGCTAAACATTATATGTTAATATCATTTGTATACAACTCCTAATTATGCAGATTAATGACATTTTAGAAAAACTAAATGTTTTTTAAAGAACTATGTTGACCATTTTTAAAAGTTTTTTCTTTGATACCACTTTGGTCAAATCCTATCAATTGTGGGAATGAAATAGAATAAATTTAAAATACTGAGCCCCCAACTTACTTACATTTATTTTGAGGGGCATTTTGATCCATCCAGGTTATTTTTGACTAGTTCTGATTGTTCGTGATCTTTATTGTTTTGGTAATCTAGGAACCAAACAACAGGAAATTGTTGTTTCCCGTGGGAAGATACTGGAGCTGCTTCGCCCTGACCCCAACACTGGCAAAGTACATACTCTGCTAACTGTGGAAGTATTTGGTGTTATCAGATCACTCATGGCCTTTAGGCTAACGGGTGGCACCAAAGACTACATTGTGGTTGGCAGTGACTCAGGTCGGATAGTTATCCTGGAATACCAGCCATCTAAGAATATGTTTGAGAAAATTCACCAAGAAACCTTTGGCAAGAGCGGATGCCGCCGCATTGTTCCTGGACAGTTCTTAGCTGTGGATCCCAAAGGGCGAGCTGTTATGATTAGTGAGTGACTTGCTCTATTGAGTGTACTTCTGACTCTTACAGATGCTCAGTTTAGGGTAACAGTGCTGTGGTCTTGGCATTGTGCCAATAAATTCCTTATCTGGGTAAAGTTTGGACAATATTTGGATTAATGCCATGGTTTAAAGTTACTTTTCCTTTTAAAACAATGGGGAAAGTCGTCTTAACACACCTTTTCTATTTACTGTCTGGTTGGATTAGGTGTTTTTTTCATTTCTATATGTGTAGCAGAAAGGCTACAATGAAATGATTTTATATAATCAGGCAGTGAATATGGTTGCTTTCATTAGCCTGAAGTGATGATTCACATTCATGTCTCTTCTCTGATAAATCTCTTGAAGGAAATTCTGTGTATCTGATCAGGCCTCTGGAAGGCAACTCTCTGGCCAAGTGACAAAATCATTAGATCGAAGTTCAGAGAATAAAGCTGTCAATTTTACGAATTATTGTTTCCAGTATCATTAAATCTAGGGGACGCTGAAAAATTATGAAGAGTTAGTGGGATATTGAGATCCCTATTAGGAAGGGGGGTGTAAATTCTGTTGTTTATTTTACTAATTCCAAGATCCTTTAAGTTAATACACTTGTAGAGTTAGTGCTGGATGTTAATGATTTTAAAGAAATAACTGTGGTGTGACTCTGGCTGTTCTGTAAGTCCTTTTATCTTCTGGAAATTTTGTTTTGTCTCTTTTATGTATAGGTGCCATTGAAAAACAGAAATTGGTATATATCTTGAACAGAGATGCTGCAGCCCGGCTTACCATTTCATCCCCTCTAGAGGCCCACAAAGCGAACACTTTAGTATATCATGTGGTTGGAGTAGATGTGGGATTTGAAAATCCAATGTTTGCTTGTCTGGAAATGGATTATGAGGTAATGGGGACTCATTGACTCCCTCCTCTCTTTCTCTCACTCTGTCCCTCTCTCTCCCCCTACACCCCCTTTAGGTTTCTTCCATTCATCTCAGTGCTTTAATGATTGCTTTCTTCATTGTTGATGTCTTACAGCTTTTGTTTTCCAAATGTCTTATAAGATTTTTTGGGATGTTTCACAGCTTACCTAACGATATAATAGCACCTTACCCTGATTTGAACAGTCATCCTAAAAACGGTATTTATGGGAAACAGCTGTTTGAAAAAGGAAGTGAAACTGTATGTGGGGTATTTTTTTGCAGGGAGATAGTGAAAGGTGAGGCATACCATTCTTTACCTTTACTGGAATGCAGTAGCCTTGAGTAGAGGGAACCCTAGTCCCCAAAATAGGGGACCCAGTTTCTTGTTCGAGTTCTGCCATTGTCTAGTAGTGTGAGCTTTGGTAAACTGTTGAGGACCTTTGCTTCCCCATTTGTAAAATGGAGGAATCCTGATGCCTTTTTTTGCTAATGTACTTCTCTATAGGAAGCCGACAATGATCCAACAGGGGAAGCAGCAGCTAATACCCAGCAGACGCTTACCTTCTATGAGTTAGACCTTGGTTTAAATCATGTGGTCCGAAAGTACAGTGAACCTTTGGAGGAACATGGCAACTTTCTTATTACAGGTACTTTTTTTCTCAGAGCTGTTTTGTATCTTTTTACTTGGCTCATTTTATATGCAAACCTAGGAGAGTTTACTTAATGGGGTTTGGAAACTATAATCTATTTCTAGTAAGTCTAATAACTATCTTGTGTCTGTTTGGTGAAGTTAGAAGTTCATGGAATGGTTGACTTTTATCTTCTGATAGAGGCAAAGGAAGAAAGGATGGGGAGAGTGCTCAGCTTGGAATATTGACTACTGAGTGCTCTGATATTTTTATTATAGATAGTCACTGTCATTAAGAAAATTAAAACAAATCTTTAAAAAGACAAATGAAATGGACAAATCAACAAGATAAAACTGTATTATGTCTGAATTTGAAAACTTAGGTGAAATAGGAATATTTTTGAAAATTGTTCCCAAATTGACTCTAAGAAATGAAGAACCTGAATAGACCAGCATCCATTAAAGAAATTGGAGCAGTAGTCAAAAATCTTTCCCAAAAGATTTAAGGTCCAGAATTTTCAGGGACCTTAAATTTCTTTAGAGATTAGGAAAAGATTAAAGCTATCATACCACTTTATGAGCCTAATATAACTTAAGTATCAAAACTGAGGAAGATTAGTAACAAAAGAAATTCTGTATGCTAGTTTATGGTTATAAATAACAAAACCTAAAATCTTAGGAAATTGAAATCAACTTTAAATGATCATAGCTAAGTAAGATTTTTGTAGGAGTTCAGAGATGTTCACAGTTAGAAAATCAGTATCCGGGGCTCCTGCTTGGCTCAGTCATTGGAGTATGCGACTCTTGGATCTCGGGTTTTGTTTTTTTTTTTTTAAGATTTTATTTATTTGTCCATGAGAAACACGGTGGGAGAGAGAGAGAGAGGCAGAGACACAGGCAGAGGGAGGAGCAGGCTCCATGCAGGGAGCCCGATGTGGGACTCATCCAATGACTCCGGGATCACGACCTGGGTGTGAAGGCAGGCGCTAAACCGCCAAGCCACCCAGGCTGCCCTGGATCTCGGGTTGTAAGTTCCAGTTCCACATTGAGTGTAGAGATTACTTAAAAATGGAAGTAAAAAATTTTTTTTTATTATTTTTTTAAGATTTTATTTATTCATGAGAGACAGAGAGAGAGGCAGAGACACAGGCAGAAGGGAGAAGCAGGCTCCATGCAGGGAGACTGACGTGGGACTCGATCCCGGGTCTCTAGGATCAGGCCCTGGGCTGAAGGCAGTGCTAAACCTCTGAGGCTACCCGGGCTGCCCTTAAAAATGGAATCTTAAAAAAAAAATCCGTATCAATTTTATTCATTATATAAAAAGACTAAAGGAAATGACTACTTGTACTCTAGGTTTCAGCAGGCATGGGGAAGACAGTGATCCTTTTTATGTGGAGTCATTTGTACTTCGTTTGATATCTAAAGTGAAATCTGTCTTTAGGAGGGAGGATTTTGGAGAATAAGATAGCACTTGTCTTTGAGTATTAAATCATAGAGAGCAGCCGTATATTAAACATTACCCATTACATTACTTGCTGTAATATTACCTATATTTCATTGACAAGGGCTTCATTTGTTCAACATTTTGTTGTGTGCAAAGAAAGAATGTGGTTCATTCAAAGAACTGGAAGCTGATTGTGATTGGATTGATAGACCTAACAGGCTGGGTAGAGGTTGTGGTGGGGAGGTAACTACTGAAAGATTTTGTTGTTACTCTTTTTGTTACTGAAGGATTTTAAGCAGCGGAATAATAACTTGCTAAAGATGAACATTTTAGAAACATTACTTGCTTACATTTTGTTTAATTGAATAGAGGATAAGACTATAAGCCAGATTAGGAAACTGTTTCACTAACCAAAGAGATTGGCAGCATGAGCACTGCAAAGGAGTTAAAATCAATAGAGCTGTGAAGCGGGAGAGACTTGAGGAGTGACACCCAGGTTTCTGGTTTGGTCTGTTGGTTGATAGTCGTGTTCTTTGAGATGGAGGACCCAGGAGGTAGAACAGATTTGGGAAGGAACTTGAATTTGTTTATGAGTACAATATATTTTTAAGCTGCTGTGGAATATCATTGTAAGAGTTTCCAATATGCAGTTGGGTTATAGGGCTAAAGATGAGAACTGAATTTTGGGCTCGGAGCTAAACATTTTATTTTAGATGCATTCTCAGACATCTGGACAGGCTAAGAGCACCCGAACTGTGCTCATCCTTGTGTTATGCTGCTAGTATCAGGGAAAATAAATACTTTGAATGTTTCTCAGTCTTGGGCACTTAAACCTTCATTCAAATTGTGCTGAAAAGGAGAAGGAATTGAAAGGTTAATTGTAAATCATGGTTATGTTAAATCATTGCTAAGTTCTGTTTTTTTCTGATAGTTCCTGGAGGGTCAGATGGTCCAAGTGGAGTGCTAATCTGCTCTGAAAACTATATCACCTACAAGAACTTTGGTGACCAACCGGATATCCGCTGTCCAATTCCCAGGAGACGGGTAAAAATCTTTGCCATAAGGAAAGATATGGTTTTTGTGAAGGTTTTTTTTTTTTTTTTTTTTTTTTGTAATTACGATATAGTGTCTTAGTTTATTTGTTGTGAGGTTTTAGTTTCTTTGAAAATCTTCTTTTTAATAAAGCTGGTATTTTAGTAAAAGCAAAATAAATTCTTTGAGAAAGGAAATTAAAAACAGTTTCCATTTTAGAAGAATCTCTGGATGATCAGTTTGAAATTCCTGCAAGTTCCTAGTTTGAAAAACCAGACAGATTTATTGGAGGTATTTTCCGTTGTTTGTCTTTTTCACCCCATTCCAACATACAGGAAATTTTAAAGAACAGAACAGTGAATTCCTGTTTGCGTTTTACATTCAGAAAAAAGATTGATGGGTGGCTCACCGGTTTAGTGCCTGCCTTTGGCCCAGGGTGCAATCCTGGAGTCCCGGGATCAAGTCCCGCGTCAGGCTCCTGGCATGGAGCCTGCTTCTCCCTCCTCCTGTGTCTCTGCCTGCCTCTCTCTCTCTCTCTCTCTCTCTCTCTCTCTCATGAATTTAAAAAAAAAATTGACCAATTTAATGTTTTACTGCATTTGACTTTTTTTTCTTATGACATAGCTATATGCTTTTTTAGACAAACCGTTTGAAAATAAGTTAGTCATCATGACACTTTAACTGTTCTTTCACTGTTTTACTGTTCTTTTTTGTTCTTTAGAATATTTTGTCTCACCTTTGTTTGCTTTTGGTGTGTTTTTTTTTTTTTAAAGATTTTTTAAAATTTATTTATTCATGAGAGACAGAGAGAGAGAGAGGCAGAGACACAGGCAGAGGGAGAATCAGGCTCCATGCAGGGAGCCCGACGTGGGACTCGATCCTGGGTCTCTAGGATCACGCCCTAGGCTGCAGGCGGCGCTAAACTACTGAGCCACCGGGGCTGCCCTGCTTTTGGTCTTTTATTGACTTTTTTTTAAGAGTCTAGGCTAATTGTCATGAAATTTGTCCCATCATGTTTTTCCTTATGATTATATCCATGTTAATATTTTTGATAGAATCATTACATAAGTGGTGACATATTTCCTACTTTATCACATTAGGAACACATAATGTTGGGTTGACTTGTTGGTGATGTTAAATTAATCACCTATGTTAAAAGGTAGTGCCTGACAGTGCTGCTTAATCATGAAGGTACCTTTTCCTTTTTATAATTGGTGTGGAAGGAGATGGTGAATTTTGAGATGGTAAATAATCTTTATCCTAACATCTTTTCACATAGTGCTTTTCCTCAGTTCAGTTACTACATTGGTGGTTGAAAATGGTATTTTATTGATTTTTTTTATTTTATTGATATTAATCTTAACAGTTTACTGTGGAGATTATTAAGCATATGCAAAAGTAGAATGTAATGAGCTGAGTATCCAGCTTCAGCTAATCTCATTTCATCTCTGCTCCTTCAGTCTCTCCTTTCACCCCTGGTTTTCTATCTTTTTAATATTAATTTATAGGTCCTGGGGTTAAATCTTTTAGGTCTTACTTAGTTGAACTAATATGATAACCTGGGTAAGATTCCATAAATTTTAGAAAATTTGAGAAGGAATCTATTAAGTAAATTCTTGGTAAGGTGTGTGGGATGTAATTCGATTTGGTTGATCAGACATTTATTGAGCGCCTGCCAGGCAGTGTAGGTGGCTTTGGGACTACAGAAATGTATAAAACATGTTTTGCCCTTGAAGAGCTGAGTCAGTGAGAGAAATACAAAATGTTGGAAACATAAAACAAAAACCCAACATCATAGTCAAGAAGCAACCTTGGAGGAATCAAGGAAGTTGATATGGAAAAGGGCTAATGAAGGATAGTTTGGATGGACGTGTAAGAGTTTTTTTCATAGTCTGAAACAATAACTTTCAATTTCGTGTCTTTGACATTTTTCTCTGGAGAAAGTTTTTTGTCTTACTCATTTGATGAGAATGTACAGTGAAATTGTGGCTGTTTTTTGTACATAGGCTTTGTCACATTTACAGTAGACAAGCATTTTTGGCCATTGTGTTCTATTTTTGGCTGACTGGCTGCTCTGGGTCAAAGCTTGTATAGAGAGGTGGCAGGTAAAAAAAAAAAGAGAGAGAGAGGTGGCAGGTACTTCTAGGCCTTGGGCAACATGTATATCCATATTGGTAAGGTGCTACATTCCCTAAATAAGAAGAACTCCTTTCTAAGTTGTTGGTTCTGTGTTTGACTTCTAGAATGACCTGGATGACCCTGAAAGAGGAATGATTTTTGTTTGCTCTGCCACCCATAAGACCAAATCGATGTTCTTCTTTTTGGCCCAAACTGAGCAGGGAGATATCTTCAAGATCACTTTGGAGACAGATGAAGATATGGTAAGCAGATCATGGATAGAGAAGGAAAACATGAAAAAATACTTTTATTAGGTTTAGTCTGGTTTGATAAAATGTCCTATGGTATTCTAATTTTGATATATTTAAGTAGCCTTATTTCAAAAACTTAAGTGTACATTTAAGGTCCACAAAGTGGTTTTATAAGCCATTTGTTCATTGAAACTGAGATAGGACAATTAATACTTCACAAGTTAATAAAATGGAAACAGTGCCTTAAAGAGTGGTTGTCTAAGGTGTTTAAAGCTTTTAAAATTTGGAACTAAAAAAATAAAATTTGGAACTGGTATATCGAATGTAGATTTTCTCATTTGGTTAACAGATTTCTGGTCTAGTAGTCTCATGAATGAGACCGAGTAGTGCCTCTTCTAGTGAGTAACAAGAGAAGACTCTGCTTGTCTAATGAAAACTGGTAATGACACTGTTACTGTTTTTGTCCTATGGAGGAACTCTGAACAACTGAGTAATATTTTAGATATCTATTTAGCTCAGGAGTTGGAAGAATTTTTTTTGTGAAGGCCTAAAAGTAAACATTTTCAGCTTTTATGGGCCATATAATCTCTGACTCAACTATACAGCTTTGCTGTTGCGGCACTGAAGTAGCTGTAGGAAGTATATAAACATTAGGCATGGCTGATCTTGGGTCTTAGTTTGCTAACCTTGGGTTTAGATACTAAGGATGATATTTTATTTGCTATTCTGTTTATGCTGTCTATCTTAAAATACTGGCTACCTTCTGTGACCTAGCTTCACTTGGCCTACATGCTAGAATATTTTTCCCCCCCCTTCCAGGTTACTGAGATCCGGCTCAAGTACTTTGATACTGTGCCTGTTGCTGCTGCCATGTGTGTGCTTAAAACAGGCTTCCTTTTTGTAGCATCAGAATTTGGAAACCAGTGAGTAATCCTTTTATTATCCTAGTTCACCCTGATTCCTATAAAAGTTGACAGGAGGAGATGTGGCTGTAAGGCCATAGAACTTTCCACAAGAATGTCCACAGTTTTTTCAAAAGTTTTGCCCTCCTTGACCCTTTACATTTTATTGGTTATTTACCCTACGTCAGTAGCTTCGATCAGTAGCTGCAACCTCAGTATTTCTGTTAATGGCTAAGGGGCCAGTTCTAACAACTTGAGTGTAACATCTCAATTTTTATGGACAAAAAAACAGTTTCATTTTAGTGCTAAAGTCTTTTTACTTCTGTATCCCTTTTTTTGTGGTGCTAATCTAGATTAGTTCACTAATTTTCTTACTACATTTAATTACTTTTCCTGTAAAACTTAACCTTTTTTAGGGACGCCTGAGTGGCTCAGCGGTTTAGCACCTGCCTTCAGCCCAGGGCATATTCCTGGAGTCCCGGGATCGAGTCCCACATCAGACTCCCTGCATGGAGCCTGCTTTTCCCTCTGCCTGCGTCTCTTCTTCTCTCTCTCTGAATAAATAAATAAAATCTTAAAAACAAAACAAAACAAAACAAAAAACAACTTAACCTATTATAGTCATCTCATTCAGCAGCCAAGACCTAACCTTGATGAAATCCTTTCCCTTAACCCTGTGTGCGTAAAGTCTAAACTCTAGCCTTGGATTTAAGACCAGTATCTAAGTTGCCAAATTACCGGAGACTGGGTCTTGCCTTTTTAGTTTAGGTCTTGCTTTTTTTAGTTCAGGATTTGCCGGTATCTGCTAAAGTCTGCACAAACCACTTAACTATTGCTGTTTCCTCATAATTAAAATGAAGTATTTTAGGAATCTTTGCCATTTCTGCCTTTTCTCAAACTATTATTCATTTCTTAGACATGCCTGGTACTCATCCTCACTGACTTTATTCTAGCTGTTTATTATTCATTTTCCATATTTATACCTCTTTTGTCATGCTTTTCATGCTTAGTCTGTTTTTTGTATTTTAGTCCATTTCCAATTTTCCAGTTTTTTATTAACAAGGAATTTTCATTGTAGAAAAGTTAGAAAGTGCAAAGAAAGCAAAAATGTCACCTGCAGTCCTTCTACCTGAATATAATATTTTTGTGTAGCCTTCCTGTGTGTGTCTATATTTAAACTTTTTTTGTTTGTTTTTTAAGATAAACTTATTTATTCACGAGACACACACACCGAGAGAGGCAGAGACACAGGCAGAGGGAGAAGTAGGCTCCATGCCGGGAGACTCACCCTGGGCTGAAGGTGGCGCTAAACTGCTGAGCCACCCAGGCTGCCCTATTTAAACGTTTTTACAGAAATGCCATGATGTGTGATAAATTTATTGTAGCTTGCTTTATTCACACAGCAATACATCATAAATCTTTATATTAATAAATATAGACCTGTAACTCAAACTTCTTTAGTAGCTAATCTTTTTTCCTCCACTTTTTTGTGGTTAAGATACATAAAATTTGCCATTTTAAACCATTTTTTAATATTCAGTTCAGTGGCATTAATTACCTTTATAGTGATGTGTTGCTATCTTTACATATTTTTTCATCATCCCAAACAGAAACTTTATACCCATTAAGCAAGGACTCCCATTTCCCTCTCTTCTAGCTCATGGTAACCTAAGTGAAGTCATACAGTATTTGCCTTTTTCTGTTTTGCTTATTTTACTTAGCATAGTATTTTCAGGGTTCCTCTATACTGGGTGTCAGCACTTCTTTCTGTCCCTGAATAATATCTTTTGTATGTATATACCACATTTTGTTTGCCTGTTGATAGACACTTGGGTTGTTTAACACCTTTTGGTTATTGTGAATAATACTGCATTGAGCATTGGTATAGAAGTATCTTTCTGAGTCTCTGTTTTAATTGTTTTGGGTATATACCTAAGAGTGGAATTGCTGGGTCACATAATTCTGTTTAATTTTTTGAGGAACCACCAAATTTAGTAGCAGCTACATCATTTTACATTACTAGCAGCAATGCATGAAGGTTCCAATATGTACCAGTTGTTACTTTTCTCTTGATTATAGACAGTAGGTGTGAAATGGTATCTCTTTATTTTTTTATTTGTAAGACTTGTTTTTTATATATTCTGGATATTAATCCCTTACAGATACATTGTTTACAAATAACTTCTCCCATTGTATAGCTTGTGTTTTCATTTTTTTGATACTGTCCTTGATGTTTTAAAGTCTTTAATTTTGACGAAGTTCAGTTTATCCATTTTTGTTTTGTTACTTGTGCTTTTGGTTTTTATAGCTAAGTATCCATTGCCAAATCCAAGGTGATGAAAATTTACGTCTGTGTTTTCTTCTAAGTGTTTTATGATTTTATTTTTTTTATTTTTTATTTTTTTTTATTTATGATAGTCAGAGAGAGAGAGAGAGGCAGAGACACAGGCAGAGGGAGAAGCAGGCTCCATGCACCGGGAGCCCGATGTGGGATTTGATCCCGGGTCTCCAGGATCGCGCCCTGGGCCAAAGGCAGGCGCTAAACTGCTGCGCCACCCAGGGTTCCCTGTGTTTTATGATTTTAGTTCATGTTTAGGTTGTTCTATTTTTTTGAGTTAATTTTTTATATGGTGTGAGGTAGGAGTTCATGTTCATTTTTCATTCTTGTGAAAATTCAGTTGTCTCAAACAGCATTTGTGGAATGTAGTACCATTTTTAGCGACCATACAATATTCTGTTATATGGGCCTGAGTTAATTTGTTTAAATAAGCTTTTATTTGTTTTTGGATAGACTTTGCTTTTTTTTAAAAATTGAAGTATAATTGACGCACAGTATTTTGTTAATTTCAAGTGTACAGCATAGCTGTTAATTTCAAGTGTACAGCATAGCTATTTCACAAGTTCATACATTATGTTATTTTTGCCACAAGTGTAGTTACGCTCTGTCACCATACGATGCTATTACAACATCATTGATTATGCTGTGTGTTAGACATCCATGATGATATAGTTACTGGAAAGAATATATACATTTTCAAAACTTTGAATTGTTCCTACTGAAAGTTTGTGAGGATTTATACACTTGTAGCAGTATGTATCCTATGATTTGGTATGTGTCAGCTCTAGGTATGTGCATGTTTTAAGGTTTGCTAATTTAGGGGGTTAAAAATTTATTAACTAAAGAGTTTGGACTTTGCACTTATTTGCCTACGAGTATATCCTCTGTTAATTGCTTAGTCACGTCTGCTTATTTTCTATGGTATTCTTTAGTAATGATCAGGGGTATTTTGGGGGAGGTGCTATAACTTAGTGTAAACTCTGGAGTCACCCTGCCTGGTTGGGTTATTATCTTGGCTTTATGTTCTCTAGCATTATGTCCCAGTTTTCTCATTTTCCAAGGGAGATAGTAATGATGTATATACTTCACTGGATTTTGTGGGTATTTAATAAGAATACAGATGGGTGGCACTAATAATTACTTTGTGGTGTAAGCATTTAGTGAATATTGGTTGCCACCATTCTTGCTGTTTTACTCTGGCAATGTAGAAGGTCTTGGAAAATGAGTAAAAGAGCAAATAATAAAAAATCACCTGTAATCTTAGAAGTATCTCAGAATAGTCATACTAACATTTGTTCTATCTACTTCCAGTAGTTTTACTTTTTAGTTTTTCTATGTAATTTTATTGTAAGAACTGCATCATTCTATAAAAAATTACTACTATTTTTTCAAATAAGCAGTGTATCTTAAAATTTTTTTTCTATCATAAATATTTTTCACTTAAAATTTTTATTACGGAAAGTTTTTAATAGGTACAGAAGAGAGAATAGTGTAATTAATGAATCCATATGTGCACATCATTCAGCTTCAACAAAGGCTAACCATGGTCAGTCTTGCTTTATTTATGCCCCACTGCTCCAAAATATAATCGAGAATACTAATTTCTGGGATGTCTGGGTGGCTCAGCAGTTAAGTTACCTGCCTTCAGCTCAGGTTGTGATCCCAGAGATTGGGATGAGTCCTACATCAGGCTCCTGGCTTGGAGCTTGCTTCTCCCTCTGCCTGTGTCTCTGCCTCTCTCTCTCTCTCATGAATAAATAAAATTAACAAAAAAAAATACTGATTTCTAATACTAATTTCTTGATATAATTAAATAGTATTCAAATTTCTTTGTCTCAATTTTTTATTATTTTAAGGATTTATTTATTTGAGAGAGTCTGCATGCATGCAAGGGAAGGGGTATAGGAAGTGGGAGAGTTTTTTTTTTTTAAAGGTTTTATTTATTTATTCACGAGAGACACAGAGATAGAGGCAGAGACACAGGCAGAGAGAGAAGCAGACTTCATGCAGGGAGCCCGACGTGGGACTCGATCCTGGCTCTCCAGGATCATACCCTGGGCTGAAGGTGGCGCTAAACCGCTGAGCCACCAGGGCTGCCCAGCGGGAGAGAGTCTTAAGCAGACTCTGCTGAGTGGGGAGTCTGGTACAGGGCTCAATCTCACCACCCTGAGATCATGACCTGAGTCAGATGCTTAATTGACTGTGCCACCTAGGTGCCCTATCTCAATTTTTTTTTAAAAGATTTATTTATTTATTCATAGAGAGCGAGAGAGGCAGAGACACAGGCAGAGGGAGAAGCAGGCTCCACGCAGGAAGCCCGATGTGGGACTCGATCCCGGGTCTCCAGGATCACACCCCGGGCTGCAGGCGGCACCAAACCGCTGCGCCACCAGGGCTGCTCCCCTATTTCAATATTTTTAAAGTTGATTTGTTTAGATCAGGATCTAGCAAGACTCCTACATTGCATTTGGTACATAGAAAACATTTTTAGTAGCTGCATATTTTATGGCCATGCCTCATGTTGGTGGATATTTAGGTTGTACTTTTGCTGTCACAAATAGTGCTTAGTGAATATTGTAGGTGCATCTTTTGTGTTAGGTGAACGCAACCATCATTTAAATTCATAAGTGCAGGATGAAATTTTGATAAGGAATGCTATATTGTCCTCTGAAAACGTGACATCAGTTTACATTCCCACCAATAGTATATGAGAGACCTTTTTTTCTTGGTACATGACAGGGTTAATAAGCTCTTAAAAACCACCGAAAAAAAGACTAGTAGTTCAAGAAAAACAGGGACAGAATTTGAATATGCCTTTACAGTAAACGAAATGAGTGGTCTAAAAGTATAATATGTAGAAGTATTTCAAACTTATAATCAAAGGAATGCCAGTCACACTATGTGTCTTTTTTCGTCTAGCAGATTGGCAGATATTAAAACTTAGATAATTGTCTTGGTAAGACTGTGGGTGGAAGCAGTAATTGCATACAAAAGGTATCTTTCTTGTTCGTTACCTTATGCACATAGTATGTTTGATAAGATTATACATTAATTTTTTTAAAATTTTTTTTATTTATTGTCGTCACAGAGAGAGAGAGAGAGGCAGAGGCAGAGACATAGGCAGAGGGAGAAGCAGGCTCCATGCACCGGGAGCCCGATGTGGGATTCGATCCCGGGTCTCCAGGATCGCGCCCTGGGCCAAAGGCAGGCGCCAAACCGCTGGGCCACCCAGGGATCCCAGATTATACATTAATTTTATATTAAGTCTTATAAAATGATTTAGGAATAGGGACGCCTGGTGGCTCAGCAGTTGAGCATCTGCCTTTGACTTGGGGCCTGATCCTGGGGTCCAGGATCGAGTCCCACAGCGGGCTCCTGCAGGGAGCCTGTTTCTCCCTCTACCTGTGTCTCTGCCTCTCAATCTCTCTCTCTCTGTCTCTCATGAATAAATAAATAAAATCTTTTAAAAAAATGATTTAGGAATAATACATTCATTCCTTCTGTTTTGAAGAATGATAGTGAAAATGTATCCAGCGCTTGTCTGTATGTATCAGGCACTTTTCTAAATGTTTTTCTTCTATTGTCTTGGTTTGAGTTCTCCTGCAAGCAGAGCTTGAGACAAGTACTTGGATGCAGGTAGATTATTGGGGAGGAATTGCAAGAAGCAGGAGTTAGGGAGCAGTAGAAAGGAATAGGGAAAGAGGAAAAGCCAACATAAGGGTGTGACATGGAGAATTCCTGCTGTCGGCAATAGGAACTTACTTCCATCAAGACCTGCTCCCAACAACAGACTAGTAGAATGCCTCTGAGAATTGCCCACCTGAAGGTTAACAATACCTCTTCTTCTCTCTTGGTTTGAGAATCACCTCTTGGGGCAGAGAATAGAAAGATTGCAGTATACAGGTGGATAATTGTCAGCGTGGGGTGGGTTTGAGCTTGTGAGAAATTATCCATTGCTGCTAGAGTTGAAGTCTGGAATTCTTTTTCTTTCTTTCTTCCTTCTTTCCTTTCCTTTCCTTTCCTTTCCTTTCCTTTCCTTTTCCTTTCCTTTTCCTTTCCTTTTCCTTTCCTTTCCTTTCCTTTCCTTTCCTTTCCTTTCCTTTCCTTTCCTTTCCTTTCCTTTCCTTTCCTTTCCTTTCCTTTCCTTTCCTTTCCTTTCCTTTCCTTTCCTTTCCTTTCCTTTCCTTTCCTTTCCTTTCCTTTCCGACTTTATTTATTTATTCATGAGACACAGAGAGAGAGAGGTAGAGACATAGGCAGAGGGAGAAGCAGGCTCCATGCAGGGAGCTCGATGTGGGACTCAATCCAGGGTTTCCAGGATCAGGCCCTAGGCTGAAGGCAGATGCTCAGAGCCACCCTGGCGCTCCTGGAACACTTTTAAAAGGTGCTAATTTGGGGCATCAGAAACCTGTGCTAAGGGTATTAACTCAATTATAAAGCAACCTGTTTGTCACTTAGCATTTACTGTTCCAAGCACTGTTCCAAACCTGTGCTAAGGGTATTAACTCAATTATAAAGCAACCTGTTTATCAGTTAGCATTTACAGTCCCAAGCATTTTTTTAAGAACTGCAAATAACACGAATGCATATATAATATTCCCAGTGAAACAATGCCCTTATCCCCATTTACAGTTTAGAAAACTGGGTCAAAAAAAAAAAAAAAAAAAGAAAACTGGGTCACAGAGAAATTGTGAATTTGTGAAAAATTTGATCACACACCTAAGTCCCAGACCCTCTGGTTCTAAAGTTCCTGTTCTGAAGCACTATACCAGGGATCCCTGGGTGGCGCAGTGGTTTGGCGCCTGCCTTTGGCCCAGGGCGCGATTCTGGAGACCCCGGATCGAATCCCACGTCGGGCTCCCGGTGCATGGAGCCTGCTTCTCCCTCTGCCTATGTCTCTGCCTCTTTCTCTCTCTCTGTGTGACTATCATAAAATAAATAAAAATTAAAAAAAAAAAAAGAAAAAAAAAAAAGGAAAAAAAAAAAAAAATGAAGCACTATACCATATTTATAGAAACTGTTTAATCCAGATTGGCCAAGGCAACCTTTCCTGTGATAGAGGTTGTGATGAGTCCAGCATCCTTTTGGTTATCTGGCAGTAGGTAGATGCTGAAAGTATCATAGACAAGTGATCTTCATCATATGTGTATACACCTCTTGCCTGAGTAAGGGATTTATACTAATTAACTTTTTATATGTGTATCTTCTATTCTCCATGCTTTTGTACATTGTTCAAGGATAATCTGTTTACTTTTTTGTGATTTAGCGTAGAGTCTTATTTGTTTACTAAAAGTGTTAAATGCTAAGGTTTATTTGGGAAACATTTCTTGAATAGCTTATGTATTTCAGATGCTGACTTAGTCATTTTAACCTGTTTCTAGAAAGCTACACTTAATGTTGTTAAAAGTGCTATGTATTAAAGGTCTTGAAATATTACTTATAGGGTAAACATGACCAGTGATTTGGTGTTTCTTTTTTAAATTGAGCTTCTTCCCAAAAGCTCCGTGCCTACTTAGCTTGTGATGGTATATTGTTACAGGTTATCTACTCTTCTTTTTTTTTAAAGATTTTATTTATTTATTCATGAGAGAGAGGCAGAGACACAGGCAGAGGGAGAAGCATTCCCCCTGCGGGGACCCTGATGAGGGACTCAATCCCAGAACCCCAGGATCATGCCCTGAGCCAAAGACAGATGCTTAACTGCTGAGCCACCCAGGTGTCCCTAGATTATCTACTCTTAAAGTTGCGTTATAAGATGATTTTGTTGCTTATTACCTCTAATATGTTTATGTTTTCTTTTGGGGAATGATACTGTAATCTCTGCATGCTATTATAAAGTGACCACCAGTTGTTTTCTGTTAGATTTGGCCTTGTTATTGGCTAGAATAGGAAATGGTAGTAGGTTTTCTTTGGATTTGGTTTATGTATATTTCATTTTATTTGATAAATACTGTTCCATGCCCTGCTATAAGTATTCATTGAATTCTTTTTTTTTTATTTTTTATTTTTTATTTATGATAGTCACAGAGAGAGAGAGAGAGGCAGAGACACAGGCAGAGGGAGAAGCAGGCTCCATGCACCGGGAGCCCGACATGGGATTCGATCCCGGGTCTCCAGGATCGCACCCTGGGCCAAAGGCAGGCGCCAAACCGCTGCGCCACCCAGGGATCCCTATTCATTGAATTCTATGGGAAAGTACTATTCATTTTTATAAATTGAGGCACAGTGAGGCAAAGGGATTAATAATATGCAGCTAGTTAAGGGGGCAGAGCTGGGATTCAAACCTGGGCACTCTAGTGGAAGCCAGGTGCTTTTAACCACTGTGATGCTAAGGTTCTTCCTTTGTACCAATCTGAATTTAGTAGTCTTTTTTGAGTAAGGTCTGTACCCAACATGGGGCTTGAACTCAAAATCCCACATCAAGAGTCACATTCTCTACTGACTGACCGAGTCAGGTGCTCCCCGATTCAATAGTCTTAATTTCTTCATCCCATTCTTTTCTAGAGTTAAAAATGTGTTGTTTGTTTGTTTTTTATGATTTTATTTATTTATTCATGACAGAAAGAGGCAGAGACCTAGGCAGAGGCAGAAGCAGGCTCCATGCAGGGAGTTCGATGTGGGACTCTATCCTGGGACTCAAGGATCATGCTGTGAGCTCAACCGCTGAGCCATCCAGGCATCCTACGTGTTAGAATTTTGATTAGATAATTGTAAAGTGCTCTATGAGCACTATGTCTGTAGCATGCATTATCTATAGACAGAAGGTGTGTAATTAAATTCTTCTCTGCTTTTTCCCAGTTACTTGTATCAAATAGCACATCTTGGAGATGACGACGAAGAACCTGAATTTTCGTCTGCCATGCCTCTGGAAGAAGGAGACACATTTTTCTTCCAGCCAAGACCACTCAAAAACCTTGTGCTAGTTGATGAATTGGACAGCCTCTCTCCCATTTTATTTTGCCAGGTGTGGGTCTTCCCAGTTACTTCCACAATGAGCAGTGTCTGCCAAATGTTTTTGAATCTGAATGAGTTTAAAGCTGTAATTCCAGTTCCAGTTAAGATACAGTCTGAGAGGTTCGTTAGCATATCTGTAGAATCAACAGAGTGTAAAGGTGAAGCAATTAAAGGTGGAAGTTGGGTAACTAAAAACCATTACATCAATCCTTAGGGTTTTTTTTTTTGTTGTTGTTGTTGTTGTTAATTCTATAACTCGTGTTCAGTATAAAAGTTCTAAACTGTGTAAAAGGTGACTGGTAAAATTCCTGCCCAATCTTATTTTCAACTTCCTATCCACTGAGGATGCTGTTATTAACAATTTATGATTGCTTCTAGGTATTTTCCCTGCATCCATCAGTGCACACGTGTGTGTTTGTGTTATATTTTCTTTTTATTATTTTTTAATAATAATAAAAGGAGGAGGGGGTGGGAAGAGAGAATCTCAAGCCGAGTCCAGGCCCAGTGCAGTGCTTGATCTCAGGATCCTGAGATCATAACCTAAGCCTGAGCTGAAGTAAAGAGTCTGAACTTAATCTACTGATTAAGTTACCACCAGGTGCTCTGCCTCTTTCTTTTCTTTTCTTTTCTTTTCTTTTCTTTTCTTTTCTTTTCTTTTCTTTCTTTTCTTTTCTTTTCTCTTTTCTTTTTTCTTTTCCCTTTTCTTTTCTTCTCTTCTCTTTTCTTTTTTCTTTCTTTTTCTTCTCTTTTTCTTTTCTTTCTTTCTTTTCTTTCTCTCTTTCTTTTTCTTTTAAGATTTTATTTATTCATGAGAGAGAGAGAGAGAGGCAGAGACACAGGCAGAGGGAGAAGCAGGCTCCATGCAGGGAACCCGATGTGGGATTCTGTCTTAGGACTCCAGGATCACGCCCTGGGCCGAAGGGAGATGCAGGCTGCAGATGCAGGGGCATGCAGGGCGCTAAACCACTGAGCCACCCAGGGATCCCCTGCCCCTTTCTTTTTAATGTAAATAGGCTCATATACTTCTCAGTGTTCTGAAATTGACCTTTTAGCACATAATAGTTTAAGAATATTAATAGTCGAATACCTATGTCTATCTTATTTTAATACTGAGTTTCTTAAAATATTCTAGAGACATTGGGATCAGTCAGTAATAGAACTTTTTAAAATACATCCTCAGGGAGGAACTAAAGGTGGCCAGGAAGGGGGACTGTGTCCCTAATGCTGGTGCTCAATTGTAGCAGAAATTTTGCCATGCCTTTGTATCCTGGATTGCTGTTTTTTTTTTTTTTTTTTAATTGCTGGGGTTTAAATGACCATTAAGTGCCCCCATACCCTGTCTAGTTGACCACACTTCTAATTGAGAGAGGTTTGTTTACTGTGTTCTGAGGAACAAGTCAGCATTCAGGCACTATTCGTGGCAAAATTAACTATTCTGAAATTATCTGCTTGCTTGCTTTTTTTTTTTTTTTTTTTTTGCCTTTTTTTGCTTGCTTTCTTTTTGAGAAAAGATTAACCCGATGGTAATAGAAAATACTAAGTAATTCCTAAGTAGATTTTTAGTGATTCCCCCCTTTCATTGAAATTTGAAGAAATAATTGTGTAAATAGTTTGTGGATAGAGAATAAAATTATTATAAAGTTTAGGTATCTATAGCAGGGCTAAGCATTTTTTTTTTTTTTTTGTGCCACGTATGCCATTACCAGCTTGGTGGGGCAACTGTATTTCTCTTTTGAATAATATTTTTACTTATTTATTAAATTTATTTATTTATTTATAAAGCATGTGTGAATGCGCATGTGAACAGAGAGAGGGCCTGGAGAGGGAGGGAGAATCTTAAGCAGACTCTGCATAGTGCAGAGCCAGACAGGGGGCTCAGTCTCATAACCTGAGATCATGACCTGAACTGAAATCAGGAGTCAGATGCTTAACCAACTGAGCCTCCCTGGTTGGTGCTTCTGAATATTTTTAAGTGCATGTAGTAATAAACGTAAGCTAGCCAATATAGCAAAATATTTGTAAGTTGTGAAAAAGTAATGTATGTGTTTATCAAGGCTTTAAATAACAAGATGATGCATTTGAAATAGATGAGTTAAAAAGAGATCAGCATGAAGGCAGTATGCACTTAACACATTTGTCCATATTACAGTGAACTGTATAGCCTTAATAGATCGTCAAGAATTTTCACTTGAACTGACCTGTTTGACAAAACTGCAGTATGGATGATTGGTCTCATTATATATTGACCAACAAATGTACTGGAAATGGAAAGCAGCTAGATGTCTAGAATACCAACACGAAAGTGCATGGCTTCCCCATCTGGTGGCTGAACAATCAGGTGCAGTTACCCAGTAGTTGGTCAGCTACATCATAGGAATATGTAGATAGGGCAACTTTGATAATGTGTAGTTTAACAGATCTAATGAAGGTAATTTTGAAGCATTGATGAGAGGAATAATTAGAGGTATGTAATATGAATAAATGTGATTTTTATTTGTGATAGTTCCTGATACTGGTAATATTAGAATATTTGTTTTTAGTTGAAAAGAAATACTAAATTTTAGTTTGAGGTTATATAATACTCATTTTACTAACTGTAAAAAAAGTACTCTGCTCACTGAAGAACTGATATAAACCATTTTTGTTAGTAGAACTTGTTGCTTCAAACTGGTTTGCCTTTTGGAACATGAGGGTTTTCTCCCTTGATACCAGGGTTGGTAGCCAATATATAAGTTTAATAAACTAAAAAGTACTTTGTCTGCTGAGAATAATCAGGGTTGGGTGGGAAAACTTGGTACAAGTAGACATTTTTTTGCATTTTTGTCTGTGCAGATAGCTGATCTGGCCAATGAAGACACACCACAGCTCTATGTGGCCTGTGGTAGAGGACCCCGATCATCTCTGAGAGTCCTAAGGCATGGACTTGAGGTAAAGCTGGGCATTTTTAGATCATCTGCAGGGTTTAGAGAGAAGCATTGAAAAAGCAGCTTATGACTCTTCCAATGAGATCAATGATGTATTTAATGTTTCTATGAAAGGAAAAAAGTGTTTTTTCCCCTCTATTTCCATAACAGAGTTTAAATTTCTTGTCCTTTAATATAATAGGCACATTTTTAAAAATAGACAAATGTGGTTAAAAGGGAAAATAATCCCTACTGGCTGGCTCCGGGCTCATCAGCCAACTTGGATAAAATCTGCATGGAGCATTTTATTCCATTTTCTTCTAGTCTTGGTCTGTATTCAAAGTTTTTAAGTATTTATGTGTTGACTGTATTAATACTATGTATTTTTGTATCTTATTAAGTTTATTCCTTATATGTTTTCTTAAGTTATATTTTTTTTTAAGAGTTTCTTATTCATTTGAGAGAGCAAGTGAGTTTCAGAAAGGGGAGGGACAGAGGGAGAAAGAGAAGTAGACTCCCCCCCCCCCCCCCCCACCCCGGAGCAGGGAGCTGGACTTGGGGTTGATCCCAGGACCCTAGGACCATGACTTGAGCTGGAGGCAGACGCTTAACTGACTGAGCCGCCAAGGCGGCCAAAGTTACATTATTTTTAATGTTTCTGCAATATTCCATTATAGTGGATGGATCATAATTTATTTAATAAATCCTTTATTGTTGGATCTTTTAGGTGATATGGACACTCAGTGCCATATCCTCTTCTCACTTGGTTCTGAGAGGGTTGATGCTTTTTAGCAAGTTCCCTGGAGTTGATTTTAAGAACAAATTAAAGCTTCCTATGGCAGTTTGCTCTAGAGTTGGAGGTTAGCAGACTGTATAAGCTCTCAGTGGCCCACTGTCTTTGTAAATCTTTATTGGAACACAGTCAACATGACCTTAGTTTTGAGTTCTGGCTCTACCGCTAAATAGCTATTAGTAAGCTTTTGTTTCTCCTGTTCTATAAAGTGAGCTTAATAATGGTACCTGCTTTAAAGATTGTTGTGTGGGGACGCCTGGGTGGTTCAGTGGTTGAGTGTCTGCATTTGGGTCGTGATCCCAGAGTTCCAGGATCTGGTCCTGCATCGGGCTCCTCATGGGCAGCCTGCTTCTCCCTCTGCCTGTGTCTCTGCTTCTCTGTCTCTCTCATGAATAAATAAATAAAATCTTAAAAAAAAAAAAGATTGTTGTGTGAAATTTTTTTTAAGATTTTAATTTATTCATGAGAGACAAGAGGCAGAGAGACATAGGTAGAGGGAGAAACAAGCTCCCCATGGGGAGCCTGACATGTTGTGAATTAAATGAGATAATGCAAATGAATCATTTAGATCAAGGTCTGACATAAAGTATCTGTTCAGTTTATGCTAGCTATTAATACTGCCATTATAGGGAATTTGAAAGTTATTTGGTTCTGCCAAAACACTCATCAAGCCACTGAATTTTTTTTTTAAGCCACTGAATTTTTAATGACTTGAACCCAATTTAGATAAATAGTTCCCAATTAGTTACTGCTCATTGGATCCCATTCAGCATTTGACAAAAGCTAATATTCACTACCATAAGTGCATACATGCATTAACAGAAAATTTTGTGTACTGTGTAAGAGATAAAAGACCCAATTAAGAATGATTGTTTTTGAGACCCCCTCCCACTTTTTCCAGCTCTACAAAAGATCTGTTCTACAGAAAAATATTTTTAAACTGTTAAACATTACTTTGTTCCTGTATATCTAGTTGTTGAACCTTGTAGTTCAGCTAGATTATGGTCTCATTTGAGCAGGGTTACTGTTCCATAGTACATTTGGTGTAGAGTATAGCATTCTTAAACGCTTACATTATACTGGTGATGAAATTTTCCACAAATTTCCTGTACCATAATCAAATATTCCTATTATTTTATCAGTAAAGTAAAAAAAAAAAGTAATATCTTTAATGGATATACATGACTTCTGTCTATAAAATGTGGTTAATGGTATATAGTATATCAAGCAAATTGTTTTTGGTTGTTTAAAAATAGTAACATTTTTATATTTGAATGGCTTTATATTTACAGAAAAATATGGGATAGTACAGAGTAAATGTGTAACCTACATCTGGTTTTCCCCTCTAGATCATTTTTAGTTCATCTTAAATATTTCATTTTCTCTTATGTTTGAGAACCCATAAGATATTCAGAGGATTCTTGACTCTAACCTTAAGGATCATAAAATTTAGTAGGAAGGACAGAATAATTCCTGGAATCACTTTTTAGATGAATGTCTTAAGAGGGGGTAATTGGTATTTCTGTGAGAGCTTATAGGAGGGGGAGTGGACTGCCTTACAAGAGGTTAAGAGAAGATTTTTCCTAAAGGGTATGACATTTTAATTGGTCCTTGAAGAGAGATGGGATTTGGCCTTAAGGGAGCAAGGGAAGAAATGGGATGCTAATATAAATGGCCTAATTCCTTCCATGTGCTCTCTTTTTGAGGAGGATGCAGTCATGCCACACCAAAAGAAAGCATATGGTTTTTGCTGCAACAACTATCCTCTTAAATATTCTATCACCTTTTGCAAAAGTTTGTTATGGGGATTGCCAATATATCCAAGCCTTTTCGGTTCTTACGTTCTTCTTTTAAGTTTTTAAATTTTATTTTTTTGTGGTTTTTTGAGAAAATGATTCTGTTCTTTTAAAGATTAAAAATTTTTTTTTTAATTTTTTTTTTTGTTTATGATAGTCACACAGAGAGAGAGAGAGGCAGAGACATAGGCAGAGGGAGAAGCGGGCTCCATGCACCGGGAGCCCGACGTGGGATTCGATCCCGGGTCTCTAGGATCGCGCCCTGGGCCAAAGGCAGGAGCTGAACCGCTGCGCCACCCAGGGATCCCAGATTAAAAAATTTTAAAAAAAATTTTTAGGGGATCCCTGGGTGGCTCAGCAGTTAAATGCCTGCCTTCAGCACAGGGTGTGATCCTGGGGTCCTGGGATCGAGTCCCACATCAGGCTCCCTTCATGGAGCCTGCTTCTCCCTCTGCCTGTGTCCCTGCCTCTCTCTCTCTCATGAATAAATAAATAAAATATTAAAAAAAAATAAAAAACTTTTATGTAATCTCTACAGCCCAACATGGGGCTCAAACTTAAGCCTCGAGATCAAGAGTCACATGTTCTATTGACTGAGACAGCCCAGTGCCCATTCTTTTAATCCAGCATGCAGTGTGAGCATTGCCGTATTGGAATCCTATTATCTAGTGGGTTGTAAGCAAGGAGCTAAGTTGGATCTGTGGTTGTCTCCTCTCCTGTCAGGTATCAGAAATGGCTGTGTCTGAGTTACCCGGTAACCCCAATGCTGTCTGGACAGTGCGTCGGCACATCGAAGGTAAGCATCCCTTTCCCGATGGTCCAAGTGCGGGTCTGGGTGACATTGACAGTAGAAGGCTTAGAAGGATGCATTCATAATATTTCTATATTGCTTCATCTAGCAATATACTAGAAACATTTTCTGGCCTGACACCATGTTTATCAGTCTTTCTGAATCAGGGTGCCTTCACCTTTGTATGCATGAGTAAGGGGACTATAATCTTCAGGATTCTGGTTCCATCTGTGGAAGAGATGTGGTATGAGGGAAAGTTCTTGCTTCATATTTCTTCAGTGTTTTTCTCCTTTTGTGTTGAAACCACAGTGAAGTTAAAGGTGTTATTTTAGGTATTAAGAGATTTGACTTAATTTATTAATTAGTCCTGCTCAGTGGATATAGTGTGCTTTAAGAATGTTTAGATTAAGATTGAATGAAATCAGAATTTTAGAGCGGGTAGAAAAGAAGGGATGGAGTAAATAGTCTGAGCTCCTGGATAAAAATGGTTAACTTCATCCTAAAATTTTGAAATGTATGTGAAAATCCATGATAGTGCAGGAAAGTCTTGAGTCAATTGAATGAGAAATGAAACTTAATTCTCATTTTCCCTTGGATTCTTTGGGGGTGTAGGTCATTTCTATTCCTAGACTTCATCTTCCTCTTGTTCCCTCAGGAATGTGGGCCTGGTGAGTAAGATCACTCTGGCCAGCATACAAAACTTTTTCAAGAAGACAGCTGGAAATCTTCCTAATATTTTGATGTCCTGATATTTTGATGTTCTGATGTTTGATATTCTGGGAGCTGGGAAATGTGTAGGAGGGGAAATCTCTTCCTTTTAGTAGAATGCACATTGTGGTAGATTTTGTTTTCATGTGGGCATTTGAACCTGAGTTGAGTAGAAAGAAAAAAAAGCAAATAGGAAATTAGTAGGATCAGTTTTTCTGAGAAGATAAGTGTTAGATTGATTTTTGAAAGATTTCCCCATTTTGTGTAATGTCTTCATATAGAAACTGCTCAGTATTGATGTTCACCTTTAGCTTTGTGGCTGGTTGATATTACAGTTCTTGATGAAAACATTGCCTAGACTTTGAGTTTTTTGAGTCTTTGTAATAAAACCTAGTATTCCTCCTTCTTGTGTTTTTGTTTCATTTTCTACTTTTTAAAATTTACTGTAACATAAGTTTAGATTTACAGGAAAGTTACCCCTCATTTTTATGATAAAGGCAGAAAAATCACACATGTTGTCTTTTCCAAGATAGCACATTGAGATAATAGAGGCTGAAAGCCCAGTCTCTGAACTTTCAATCCAGTGTTCTTTTGACTAAACCTGCAGTGGGTCTTGATGGTTCTATACTCCTATCCTGTAGTCTTTCAAGTGTCTACCTTGTACTTGAGTAATTAAGATAGGATCTTTACTCTTATGGCACTTGCCATCTAAAAAAGAAGACAAGTATACAAAATACTATGTGTTCTGATGTAATGAAGGCACACAGGCATGTTGCTGGGGCGGATTAGAGGACAGGGAATGGGCATATGTTGGAGAATCAGAAAAGTTTTTTTGGACAGTGCTTGATAAGTTAGTGATAGCAGTATGTTGCATGATGGAACTTGAAGCTGAAAAGTTTTCTTCTCTAAATACCAAAATCTAGGAAAAGACTACATCCTAATAAATTTTAGTTCTTTAGAAACTATAATTTGGGTGATCACCCACAGAAACAGATCAGATCCTCTCTGTTCATTCTCTTTCCAGATACTCCCAAGTTTCTGTTGAGTGAATAGCCCACATGTCCACACATGCTGTAGTGTTGCAGGCAACTACTAACCTTGGCTGGTACGTGGTGATGCACACTACCAATACCAAGCCTTTTTTTCTCTTCCACAGGTGGCTGGTGAAGGTGCTGATCACCACAGGTGTGTACGTACTGCTAGGGTCTACCATGGGGTCTTATAGTTTACCCAGGGAGAGGGATCTGCACAAAGTATTAAGACTGCCCTGATGGCATCTCTCAGAGGGTAATTTTGCAGTTGGCTGTCCTGCATTATAGTGATGCACACCCATCTGCTTGTATATTACGTGGTCTGAAGCAGGAATCAGCTTCCCTTATTTTTTCCCTTAGTGGAAAATATGACTAATTTGTCTTTCACTAAGCTGAAAGAACCTGTAGCTAGGAAAACCTTAACTCCATATTCTCCTATGGAGTTTTGTATGTTCCAGTTGTTCTGACTCAAGCCCTGGAGAAAGCCACCTTTTTTGGGGGTATAATCAGGACTGCTGAAGCAAGACAGGCACCAAGTAGTCTGAGTATAAAGTGAGAATGAGATACTGGAAGCTAAGTCATCCATATCGTCACTCACTTTACCTTTTGGCATGAGCTGTTTGTTGAGCTACAGATACTAAGGCACAGGAAAGAAGAATAAAGCATTCCCTCCCCTGGGCTGCTTCAGTAGTGCTCAGATAGGAGTCCTATTTAAATGAAACAAAGATGCATTCTCATACCATAATAGATTCTTCACTGAGGTATGAACGAATATTCTTTTATATGAAACTTTTAACTTCTGGAAAAAGGCAAGGTGGATATTAATGGTCATTTACCTTGATTTCATTCTGAACTCCAACTTTAAACCTATGACTACCCTAGGACATGAGCAACTAGCCTACTATAGGTCCTCCTGGCTGGAGAATGGAAAAGGGGAGAAGTTACAGTATGCTTAGTGTTTACAGGGTAATGGATGTTGTGAGGAAATGTGTGATGTAGAAGTAGCTCTACTACTTGTTGAATTGCTCAGTGAATGTAAGACCCTATTTAAGTTCACTGAGCATCTCTTTATTTTTATATCTGAGCAGTCTGGGGCCTTGGGTCAAAGGGAAGACAAACACCTGGGTAGCCCAGCTTCCTCCCTCTCTTCCTTCTCTTGCATGTTTGTTAAAATTTTCATGGTCTCTTTGTTGGAAGTTCCTCCTTTTCCCCTTGACTAAAAGAAGAGACCAGAAATCTGGACCAGTTAGAAGTCCTTTGTTTGGCTTTAATTTGCTCTGGCACTGCTTTAAGGATATTAGGTTTCAGTAATGAGATAGTGGGAAAGGACATAATATTCATATAGTGTTAAAATTAAGCAATTCCTGTTATTTTTACACACTACAAATTTTCAGTTCAAAAACAGCTGGAGTAAAGCTTCCATGTTTGGTGTTGTGTGGAGGTTCATTTTGGTTTTGTTGTAAACTATTAAGACATCCATTTCAGGGCCAACCATGTCCTTACTCACATGATGGTGACCAGTGTTGTCTTACAAAGCCATTTTATAAGGTGTCTTTAAAGCATGTGATACCTCTTTACAGTTGTAACAAATACTCTGAAACCAGCCATCCGCTTCTCCAGTGTTACTCCTTATGATTTGGGACTTGAATCCTTATTCTCCATTCCTGGTGTAGCCATTGGATTATACCCATTGGGAAAGATCTTTGATCCTTGCCTTTCAGCCACCTAGTCAATACACACATGTATTATTAAGTAAAAGTTTGGAAAACAGTACTCACCCTTATTGTGTGAGTGATTTCATGAGTAAAGCAATTTCATAAATTTTATTTAGTTCTATATATTTCTGTTTAAAATGGTATTACAGCCCATCAGGTTGAGTGTGTCCTGCTCATATGCAGGATACTACTCTGGGCTACACCAGTGATACGTCTTCATTTGGCCTTTTCTATAAAGAACACTGTGCTGAACTAATTGAGTGATCTTGGTTCAGCTGAACCACCTTTAGAGCAGTCAGTCCAAACTGTCCTTGATATGGGTGGGATGGATTAGCCCTATGATACTGAGCTCTGACAAGGGCTTAGGCATTGCAGGGTCCTATAGCTACTTCTGCAAGTGAGATAGCCACTTTAATATAGTACCTTGTCAAAAATTAAAAAAAAAAAAAAAGGAACTTAAGTTAGTACTTTGTCTACTTGTCGTTCTGTCCCTTGTTCACCTGATTTCTTATAAGGGAGCAGGGATGGAAAGGGGAATCGATACTGAAAATTCAAATGGAAACTAGGGAAATTTTAATTCTTCATGAAAAAAATATGCCTTTCTTTATTCAGCATTTATCAACCTGTTATGCCAAACATTGTGTTGGATGTGGGAGAAAAAAAGAAACTTTTATGTGTGGGATGGAAAAATGGAAATAGGTAGCCTTTAACTCTGGAATCTGCATAAGAAACTTCTGGGATTGCCTGTATTCAGATTCACTGACTTTGAGAAACTCATTAGTGTTTGTTTATCCATAACTATGTTTTGTTTAATAAAAAGCAAATCCTAGTAGGGTTGCTCATGACCACCAAATAGTTGCATTTTTATTTTTTATTTATTTATTTATTTTTTTAAATTTTTTTTAAATTTTTATTTATTTATGATAGTCACACAGAGAGAGAGAGAGAGAGAGAGAGAGGCAGAGACACAGGCAGAGGGAGAAGCAGGCTCCATGCACCGGGAGCCCGACGTGGGATTCAATCCCGGGTCTCCAGGATCGCGCCCTGGGCCAAAGGCAGGCGCCAAACCGCTGCGCCACCCAGGGATCCCTGCATTTTTAAATAATGAGAGTAGAGGGGTCAATGACTAACAGTCTTAAACAGTCCCCTGCCTCCCCACTCCTTGTTAATGCTCTTATCTCATTCCTGTTGGGACATTCTGGGATTCTCAGTTATGAACCTGAGAATGATAGTCTCTTTGAGGCTTAAGTAATCTCTGTTTTATTCATTAGATTATGTGTTCCCACATAAGCTTCTTTTGGAAAAGGCTGGGAACCTTTTCTGGGTGTAAGGATTATCTTTAAGAATGGATTGTGATTTGCATCTGGTACAAATAAACAAGCTCTAGCTTTCATATATATATATAAATATTGTAGTATTCAGAATTTCTTCCTGCCTAGTTACCCTGCTTTGTCCTCTTGCATTTTTCCAGCAAATGTGTAAAGAAAAATTAGTTTTCAGAGTTACTGGGGTGGGTGGGTATATCTACTCACTATTTTTAGGTATTTAAGGAAGCAAAGTATATCTGTAGACTGTTACAATTATCAGTTATCTTTTGGATCATTCTGTGCCGTTTGCCACATGAGTGTGTAATGGCTACACATAGAAGAAGTACCTTGGAAGGTTTCTGAAGAGAAAACGTAGTGTGTCTCACTTGGCTTTGTAACTAATGAGTTTTTAGCTGACCAACTCCTCTTCTTTTTCCTTTTGCAGATGAGTTTGATGCCTACATCATTGTGTCTTTCGTGAATGCCACACTTGTGTTGTCAATCGGAGAGACTGTGGAAGAAGTGACTGACTCTGGGTTCTTGGGCACCACCCCAACCTTGTCCTGCTCATTGCTAGGAGATGATGCCTTGGTGCAGGTGAGGATTCCCAGAAAGTTACTTAATCACCTTTCTTTGTCCTTTCATTTTGGTGTTGGCTCCTATGCTCACATTAATGAGCTTCAAACTCTTGAAGTGGACATTGCAAATGTGAACTTGTTCTAAGTTGACCTGTCTGGGTCCTGATAACTCTTTTTTGTCATTGACTCACAAGGGGCAACTCAAATGCAGCAGCTCCACTCTGACAGGAGTGACCAGTCTGAGAGGTGAGGGGGTCATGCTGAGCAATGAGTCACATTGGTAAAGTCCAGTTTCCTTCTGGTCACTTCTGGTCTGACTAGGTATATCCTGATGGCATTCGACATATACGAGCAGACAAGCGAGTCAATGAGTGGAAGACTCCTGGAAAGAAAACGATCGTAAAATGTGCAGTGAACCAGCGACAAGTGGTGATCGCCCTGACAGGAGGAGAGCTGGTCTATTTTGAGATGGATCCTGTATGTTATTTTATCATTCATTGTGGGACTTAGTGTTCAGGTTCAGAGGTAAACATGAGAGTTGTAGTTTGGTATTTAGATGATATTCACAAAAAGAATTGAGGAGGAAAAGTATACGTAAGGCAGTCCAGCTATTTGGGGGTGGGTATGGGATGGGAAGGGTAATAAGTTCATGTCATAATTCTAACTGGAGTCCCATCTTAGTAGTGAAGTACTTGTTTTTTTGTCCTTCACACTCTACTTTTCCACCAAATATTGGCCATGGGTTTTATTTATTCAGTTTTTGTAATCTGAAGCCATTTCAGAAATTTGCTTTTGTTTTTCTGTATGGAAGGATGCTGGATATATTTAATTATCAGTCTTGGGAAGTTTCTGGCTGTGGCTAACCTGATAGTCTAACTGTACCTCTGATTGAGAGTTCTTTGTCTTTTAAGTTCCATATTTGAATTCTCTTTCACCAAGAAGTATTCTCATGAACAGATAAGCAGTTTTCTCTATTTCTATTTGCTTTAGGAAATTTGTAGCAAGCATATTCTATTTGTCAAAGACAAAGATACTGTGTTGTCCCTTGAGTGTCTTGTCAGTAATTTTGCTTGCTGTTAGCCTGTAGAGTTCAGTCTTGGGATCTTAAGTAGAGAAATGCTTGGTCATTGATTATAATACGAGGAGTGAGAGGAAGCAAAAAGAAATTTAACAGTACCTCTTCCTTTCCTAGGCCCAGGGTTTAGGGGCAAGTTGGAGTGGTTTGTCACCTCTCTCTGTTTCATTTATGTAGTCAGGACAGCTGAATGAGTACACAGAGCGGAAGGAGATGTCAGCAGACGTGGTGTGCATGAGTCTGGCCAATGTGCCTCCTGGAGAACAACGGTCTCGCTTCCTGGCTGTGGGGCTGGTGGACAATACTGTCAGAATCATCTCTCTGGACCCCTCAGTGAGTGTTACCCTGGACTTCAAGGATCTTCTCACTGGAATCTGAGCTGCTGGCCTATTCCTGATGGGCATTTCTGGGATTAGCTAGGTTAGCCCCTGAAATCAGCATCTGCCACTTGTGATTATCATAGCAGCACACCTCAGGAGTCTTCTGCAGTACTTTAAAGATCCTGATCCCAGACTACTAAGTGCTTCCTTACCTTAAGCCTTGACTCCCTTTTATAGTTAAACAAAACCCAAAGACTTTGCAGAAAAATAATCAGACTGGCTTTGGACCTTAGATAAGAATAAGTGCCCTTTGCTTATTTACATTTACCATTATCCACTTTTATAGAAAGGAAAGTATGGTTCTTTCTAGAGCTTATTCTAACATTTGGTTTAACTAGTAGTAACCCATTTAGAACTCACTCTATAAGATTCCCCTATCCACAAGAAAGTTGTTTCTTCACTCCTCAAATTAGATTTTTCCAAAATTGGTCATTTCCCATGTTTTATTCTTTTCTCTTTCCTCCTTAGGACTGTTTGCAGCCCCTGAGCATGCAGGCTCTCCCAGCCCAGCCTGAGTCCTTGTGTATTGTGGAAATGGGTGGGACTGAGAAGCAAGATGAACTGGGTGAGAGGGGCTCTATTGGCTTCCTATACCTGAATATTGGGTTGCAGGTAAGAGATCCAAGGCTCACATTATTGTTTTGTTTTGTTTTGTTTTTTATTTTAAAAATTTTTTTACTTCTTCATTCATGAGAGATACACAGAGAGAGGCAGAGACATAGGCTGAGGGAGAAGCAGGCTCCTTCTTGGGAGCCCGATGGGAGACTCGATCTCAGGACGCTGGCATCACACCCTGAGCTGAAGGCAGATGAGCGTTGTTGATGTCAGGTCTTCTTTAGCTTTTATGCAATCCTTGTTCAATATGGGCATTTGCTGAGCCTCTTCAGTTTACCACCTTATGAAAAATGAATGGTGCTGCTGTGTGTTCCTTTTCTCTCAGTACTAATCAGAAAGGTCAGGCCTAGGAAAAGATACTTTCATAAAGAGTCTTTGATATAAATGTGATCACTGCTTTGGGTCAGAACTAGAGAGAGTCTGAAGTGTCATCTGCAGTTTTCACAATATGCAGCTTTTGGAAACTAATACCTTTTGTTTTATAACGGACTCCTTTAGTAATAAAGGACCTCTAGGTGTTTACTGTTGTCAAAGCATTGGGGCTTTTCAGAGCATGAAAAGCAGCAACCTAAGGATAGCAGTGTGTCAGATACACTTTTCATTTTCCTTAATGATTATTTGTTCAGCTCCCTGGGTAAATAACCTAGCCCTGCTATGTCTTGCTATTTCTCAATTACTTCCTAATTGAGAAATTTCTCAAACATGCACAGGAGTTAGACTAATGTAACATGTACCCATCACTTGTTTTATTTTTTTATTATATTTTTATTTTTTAAGGATTTTATTTCTTTATTTATGAGAGAGCCACAGAGAAAGCAGAGACACAGGCAGAGGGAGAAGCAGGCTCCCTGCAGGGAGCCCGATGTGGGACTCCATCCTGGGTCTCCAGGATCAGGCACTGGGCCGAAGGCGGCGCCAAACCGCCGAGCCACGCAGGCTGCCCTCCATCACTCGTTTTAATAGTTAACCAACATTCTACTGTTCTTGTTTTATCTATTCTTTGTTTTTTCTTTCTTCTGGGATATGTTAAAGCAAATCCAAGGTGATTTATCATTTTATCGATAAATCTTGAGAATGTAACTCTACCAGATTTATGGGTTTTCTTTTAGGCTTCAATTTTATTATCATGCCTAATACAACTTTAACAGTTCTTTTATATCTGATACCTGTTTGTGTTCTGGTTTTTCTTGTTTCGTTTTTGTTTTTCCAGAAATGTTTTTGTCTTTTTTTTTTTTTTTTTAGTTTTTTTTTTTTTTTTTTTAATTTATGATAGTCACAGAGAGAGAGAGAGAGAGGCAGAGACACAGGCAGAGGGAGAAGCAGGCTCCATGCACCGGGAGCCTGATGTGGGATTCGATCCCGGGTCTCCAGGATCGCGCCCTGGGCCAAAGGCAGGCGCCAAACCGCTGCGCCACCCAGGGATCCCTGTTTTTGTCTTTAGTTCTACTTAGGATCTGCATAAAGCTATCTATAGTTTGCCTCTGTGTGATCTATCCCTTTATGTTTCTTTTAATAAATTCTCCATTAATTTTTTTTTTTTTTTTTTAAAGAAACTAGATCATTTTCTTGAATTTCTACCTGCTGGCTTTGGTAGAGTCCTTCCTTGTGTGTTTGATGTTTATCTATCCTCTATTTCTTGTAAACTATTGGGTGAGTCTAGACCATTCTTTTCATTAAAAATATAATGCAAGTCACATGTATAATTTAAATACTCAAGTAGCCACAAAAAGGGAACAGATGAGGTTAATCTTAATGTTTTCTTTAACCCAGTATATTTTAAATGACATTAATCACTATAAAAATTAACATACTTCATGTTCTCTCTTTTTGAACAAAGTCTTTTTTTTTAATATTTTTTATTTATTCATGAGAGAGAGAGAGAGAGGCAGAGACAGAGACAGGCAGAGGGAGAAGCAGGCTCCACGCAGGGAGCCCGACGTGGGACTCGATCCCGGGCCCCCAGAATCACACCCTTTGCTGAAGGTGGCGTTAAACCGCTGAGCCACCCAGGCTGCCCCAGATTTAGTATTTTTGGGGGGGCCCAATGTTTTATAAGTGGCACTCTTTACTTTCTATTATATCGGGAGGCATGTAATGTCTGGCCATCTTACTTGTAATGGTGTTAGGATGTTTGCATGTATTTTAAATTATTTGCTCCCTGTCAACCTTTTACCTAGCAGCAGCTGTCGATGCCCATTGCCTAGATTCATTATGTCATTAGGGATTGGGAAATGACGATTTTCTGTTTCTTTTTCTTTTTTTTTTTTTTTAAAGCTTTTATTTATGAGAGAGAGAGAGGCAGAGACACAGGCAGAGGGAGACGCAGGCTCCATCCAGGGAGCCTGACGCGGGACTTGATCCCCGGTCTTCAGGATCAGGCCTTGGGCTGAAGGCGGCGCTAAACCACTGAGCCACCCGGGCTGCCCTGATTTTCTGTTTCATCTTCATTTCTTTAGCTGGAACTTGTTTCTGAAGACAAAATTTGCTTACCCCAAAGTATAGTTCATATAGGGAAAGGATAAATACTTTGTTTTTCCCCTTGTTCATCTTATTTTCACACTAAAGAGTTGGTACCGTAGCAATCTCCAGTGGGGGCTCAAGAAATCTATTTCTCTCTCTCTCTCTCCCTCTCTCTCTTTTATTTTTTGATAACATAAAATTACAGATTTTTATATATTTATGCTTTAAACTATTACGGTCTTTTCTCATTTTTGGATGCTAAATTGCCTCATTTTAGATGGGTGGGAGTTGGAGTTCCCTTTTGAAGTTAGCTTTTTTGTTCTTTTAACATGATGCCATTATCTTTGGGTGCTTCCCTCCTTATGGTATGGTAGAGTGCCCCTGTATATATCTGGAATATTCTTGCCCTAGAACTGAATTAGCTGTTCTCTTAAGAGTCTTAAGAGAGGGACACCTGGGTGGCTCAGTGGTTGAGGGTCTGTCTGTCTTTGGCTCAGGGCGTGATCCCGGAGTCCCGAGATCGAGTTCCACATCAGGCTTCCTACATGGAGCCTGCTTCTCCCTGTGCCTGTGTCTCTGCCTCTCTCTCTCTGTCTTTCATAAATAAATAATATCTTAAAAAAAAAAAAAGCCTTCTGAGAAATGGCATGTAGAGATCACAATAGGCCTCGTTATTTTAAGTATGCATGTATCCTTTTTTTTAAAGACTTTATTTATTTATTTTAGTGTGTACACACAAGTGAGGGGGGGCAGAGGGAAAGAATCTTAATGAGGCTCCCCACTGAGCACAGAGCCTGATGGTGGGGCTCAATCCCACGACCCATGAGATCATGACATGAACCAGAACTAAGAGTTGGATGTTTAACTGCCAAACCACCCAGGCACCCCTTTACTATGCATGTATCTTAAAATTTAAAATTATATAAAGAAGAGGGACGCCTGGGTGGCTTATTGGTTGAGTGCCTGCCTCTGCCTCAGGACATGATCCCCGGGTTCTGGGATTGAGTCCCACTCAGGCTCCCTGCGTGGAACTTGCTTATCCCTCTGCCTCTGCCTCTCTCTGTGTTTTTCATGAATAAATAAAATATTTTAAAAATAAAATGAAATTATAAAGAGGAGTAACATACATGGTAGAAAGAATTTTAAAGGATGTATAGTGGGAATGCCTGGATGGCTCAGCGGTTGAGTGTCTGCCTTCGGCTCAGGACATGATCCTGGAATGATCCTGGTATCAGGTCCCACAACAGGTTCCCTGCATGGAGCCTGCTTCTTCTCTTTGTCTCTGCCTTTTTCTCTGTCTCATAAATAAATAAATCTTTTAAAAATAAAAAATAGGGCAGCCCCAGTGGCACAGCGGTTTAGCGTCTCCTATAGCCCAGGGTATGATCCTGGAGACCCGGGATTGAGTCCCATATCAGGCTTCTTGCATGGATCCTGCTTCTCCCTCTGCCTGTGTCTCTGCCTCTCTCTCTCTCTCTCTCTCTCTCTCTCTTTTTCTCTGCGTCTCTCGTGAATAAATAAAATCTTTAAAAAAAAATAAAAAATAAAAAAAAAATAAAGGACGTATAGTGAAAAATAAGTCCTTTTCACTTAGTAAATGCTCACTAACTACTTGAGCGACTGAGTGGTTTAGGCAGAGTGAATGAGTGGTTCGCTGATTATTAGGATATTCTTTAAACTGGGATCCCTGGGTGGCGCAGTGGTTTGGCGCCTGCCTTTGGCCCAGGGCGCGATTCTGGAGACCCCGGATCGAATCCCACGTCGGGCTCCCGGTGCATGGAGCCTGCTTCTCCCTCTGCCTATGTCTCTGCCTCTCTCTCTCTCTCTCTCTGTGACTATCATAAATAAATAAAAATTTAAAATAAATATCTATTTAAAAAAAAAAAGGATATTCTTTAAACTACCAAGTCATTTTCTTCCACCCGTTCTGAACTTATGAATTCTATGAATACATACATAGCCAAAGGAGCTTCCATTAGGGATAGGCTTCACCTACTCCTTTCCTTTTTATTAGAATGGTGTGCTGCTGAGAACTGTCCTGGACCCTGTCACTGGGGACCTGTCTGACACCCGCACTAGGTACCTGGGGTCTCGTCCTGTGAAACTCTTTCGCGTCCGGATGCAAGGCCAAGAGGCAGTAAGTAATGAAAGAGGCTGGGCGGCATGTTTTGACATTAGTGGCATCAACTGAGAAAAGTTCTTTTGGCATAAGCTTTGTTTTCATTAGTGCACCCATTTATAGTTAGTTTGATATTAGCTCTCTTTTAGCTTTCCTGTGGGAAGTCTTGGGACCCTTAATCCAGAGCTTTCCATGGCACTGAGCTATGCTTTGGTTATGGGTGGGATAGGTTAGCAATCTGTTCACTTTTCAGGCTGGGCAGATGGAGCTGATCGAGAAGCCCATTACCCATGAGCAACCTTACTTATATCAAAACCTTATACCAGGGTTCACTATGTAATGTGAAAGAAGTTGGGAAGCATCGTGTCCTTTGTAGCTAAAAATCTTATTGTTGCTTGGGGCTTTGCTGGATCCTTACTTGTTACTGCATGTAATTCTTGAAACTATCCAGCCTTGTGATACTATTTCCATTTTACACATGGAAATTGAGGTTTAGAGAGTTTGAGTGATAAGGCCATACAGCTACTAGCCCATGCTTAGCAAATGCTAAGCCATACTGCCTTTTCTCCAGTCCTCTTTTTTTTTTCCTCTCTCTCTTTCTTTTCTGCTTTTTTCTTAAGATAGCCTTTTAGGTTTCTAAAATACATTGGGTTATTCTGCAGATGGAAATTTGCAGATAGGCTGTTTGCTTAATTTCCATGTTTGTGCTTTCCCAAGCTTATTGGAGTATTTTTCTTTCCTCAGGTGTTGGCCATGTCAAGCCGCTCTTGGTTGAGCTATTCCTACCAGTCTCGTTTCCATCTCACCCCCTTGTCTTATGAGACTCTCGAGTTTGCATCTGGCTTTGCTTCTGAACAGTGTCCTGAGGGGATTGTGGCTATCTCCACCAATACCCTGAGGTGAGAGTCCCACGGTTCAAGCCTAGTGGGAAGCCTTTCTGCCTAACCTAGTGGTTAGGATTGTGGTTCTGCCAGAGTATTGGAAGAAGTTATGAAGTGATGGTAGAGAGCCAACTCTTTACCATGGGACTAAGATGTTGCAACTGAAACCTTCTTTTGGCTCAGGATATTAAGTACCTGCTAGCCAAGTTTCGGTGTTTGGGGTTTTAGCTTCTGTTTAAATTTTCAGGGCCAAGTTTTAATATACTCAGTAGTGCAGTTGAGTTTGCTTGAGATTTAAGCATCTTGTTTTCCAAGGCATTGCCATTGGATTAGTTTTAGAGTAGGCAGGCATTAGATCACTGGTAGCTTTTTCTCTTTCAGTTTTGTCATTTGCATTGTTACATCTTCGAATTTTAACCTCAGTATGAATTATTTAGGCCTTTTACAAGTTGACAGACTGTTATTTATGCTGATTATGTTGGAGTGAGCATTATTATATTGCGAGATGTCTATTCATTTTGAAAAATAAGCTGTGCAGTGTGACTTTGTCAAGTTTTGAGTTTTGTTTTTTAATCTTTTTTTTTTTTTTTAAGATTTTGTTTATTCACGAGAGACACAGAGAGGCAGAGGCAGATATAGGGAGAAGCAGCCTCCTCGCAGGGAGCCTGATGCAGAACTCGATCCCGGAACTCTGGGATCATGCCCTGAACTGGAGGCAGATGCTCAACCGCTTAGCCACTCAGGCATCCCTTTTTTAACATTTTAATGCCACTTATGTTCATGTCTTGGTTGTAACTGTTGGCTCTTCATAAGAGGAACTCTATCAAAAGGAACTAGAACCTCTTGATATACGGATAAATTACTAAGTGAACTCCCAGTTTTCTTTGCTGCAACTTTCAGGATCTTTTCAGTCATTGTTTTCTCTCTCTCTCTCACCCTTCCATCCTCTCACCTTCACACCTTTATGTACCTTCTACTCCAGCAGAATCACTCTCCCCTCTTGTTTTTTTTTTTTTTTTTTTATCTCTGTACCTGTCCCTAGCATGATGCTTCCCACACACAACTCTGCAGGTCAAGGCCTAGCCTCATTCATCGACATTTTCATTGTCTTAACTGGGTACTCCATCTCTTCTCAATTCCTATAAATGTGGACACTCCCACAGATTTTTTTTTAAGATTTTATTTATTTATTCATGAGAGTCACAGAGAGAGGGAGAGAGAGAGAGGCAGAGACACAGGCAGAGAGAGAAGCAGGCTTCATCCAAGGAGCCCGACGTGGGACTCGATCCCAGGTCTCCAGGACCGTGCCCTGGGTCAAAGGCGGCGCTAAACTGCTGGGCCACCAGGGCTGCCCTCCCACAGATTTTTCAGACTATTGTAGCAGTAGACCATTTCCTCCCTAGAACAAGAATCTTCAGGGAAGGTCTAACAGCAGAACTCTTAGGAACACCAGCATTTAGAGTACTTGTTGTCAGAACTAGTCACTTCTATTTTTGACTATTTATGAATAGTGCTGCTGTGGATATTCATGCATAAATTTTTGTGGGGGCATATATTTTTATTTTTATTTGGTTATGTACCTGAAAGTAGAATAGTGGGGTCATGTGGTAACTCTGTATTTAACCTTTTGAGGATTTGCCAGACTGCTTTCCAAAAGGGCTGCACTGTTTTGCTTTCCCTCCAGCAAGGTATGAGAGTTTTAGTTTTTTCACATCCTCATCTACATGAATTTATTTGATTTTTTTTTTTTTTTATTCCAACCATCCCAGTAAGTGTGAAGTGGTATCTCCTTGTAGTTTAGATTAGCATTTCTTTGATGCTTAATGATGAGCTTCTTTTTCATGTACTTACTTGGTGTTTTTCTTTGGAGTAATGTCTGTTGAGGTCCTTTGCCCCTTTTTTTAACTGGATTATTTTTTGTTTTGTTACTGAATTGTAAGAGTTCTTTGTTCTAGCTGTAACTCCCTTATCAGAAAAGATTTGCAGATATTTTCTCCCATTCTGTAGATGGTCTTTTCACTTTTTTTTTTTTTTTAAAGATTTTATTCCTGAGAGACACAAAGAGAGAGATGCAGAGACACAGGCAGAGGGAGAAGCAGGCTCCATGTAGGGAGCCCGATGTGGGGCTCAATCCCGGGACTCCAGGATTGCACCCTGTGCCAAAGTCAGGCACTAAACCGCTGAGCCACCCAGGCATCCCATCTTTTCACTTTCTTGATGATGTCCTTTGACACATAAAGGCAAAGTATTTTTTAAAGAATTATATTGAAAAAAAAATTTTTTTTAAAGATTTATTTATTTATTCATGATAGAGAGAGAGAGAGGCAGAGACACAGGCAGAGGGAGAAGCAGGCTGCATGCTGGGAGCCCGATGCGGGGCTCGATCCCGGGACTCCAGGATTGCGCCCTAGACCGAAGGCAGGCGCCAAACCGCTGAGCCACCCAGGGATCCCCTGAAAATTTTTTTTAAAGATTTTTATTTATTTGAGAGAGAGAGAATGAGCAGGAGGAGAGAGGAGAGAAGCGGACTCCTCACTGAGCAGGAAGTCTTAACGCAGACTTGATTGATCTCAGGACCTTGAGATTGTGACCTGAGCTGAAGACAGATGCATAACCAAGTGAGCTATGCAGGTTCCCCTAAAGAATTATATTTTTAAAAGTCCATCTGAAAACTGCCTGAAGTCCTGTTGGGTATCACCTGCGGCATAAGTTCTGCTTGGACAAACACTGGCTAGTCTCATATTTTCTGAGGAGTAATACAACATGGGAATATCTGTGCTCCCTCTTGTGTTGTGTGTCTCCCTGAGAGCAGGTGTTCTCTATGCTTAGAATTTGCCTATTGTGGTAGGGTGCCTTTATAAAACAGATTAGTGTGTGGGTTAGACCAAGAAGAATCAAAACTGAAGCATCAGTGGTTTTGATTTTGGTTTTATGTGATACTTATTTTTTTTCTTGCAGAATGACAACTTTTGATGCCTAAACACTTAGTTTCATTATTCAGATGTTTGTAAAATACTTGATTTATTGTTTTTCTCCAAATAGAGGAATATGCTAATTACTTGGAGAATATTTTGGATATCCCTGGAAGTCAGAATACTATTAACCATAGTGTATCAGGAAATAGTGTTTTTAATATTATACTCTTTGTTATGATTCTAAATTGGCTGTTTTTTCATGGTTTTCTTCTGCCTTCCATTTTTTTAAATTTATTTTTATTTATTTATGATAGTCACACACACAGAGAGAGAGAGAGGCAGAGACACAGGCAGAGGGAGAAGTAGGCTCCATGCACCAGGAGCCCGACGTGGGACTCGATCCCGGGTCTCCAGGATCGTGCCCTGGGCCAAAGGCAGGCGCCAAACCGCTGCGCCACCCAGGGATCCCTTCCATTGTTTTTTTTAAAGTCACTGTCAGATTGTATGCAATCTGGAGAGAACATTTAAACTAGAAATAAAAATCCCTTGTTAGAGATCAAGTGACTGTGTGTGTGTGTGTGTGTGTGTGTGTGTGTGTGTGTAAAGATTTATTCATTCTGGGACTCCTGGGTGGCTCATCAGCAGTTGAGCATCTGCCTTTGGCTCAGGGCATGATCCCAGTCCGGGGATCAAGTCTCACATCTGGCTCCTTGTGTGGAGTCTGCTTCTCTCTCTGTGTGTCTCTCATGAATAAATAAATAAAATCTTTTTTTGAAAAAAAAAAAAAGATTTATTCTTTCTAGAAAGGGAGAGAGAACGCACATTCATGCGCTAGCAGAGGGAGAGGGAGAGAAATCCCCAAGCAGACATCCTGCTGAGCATGGAGTGTACAGAGCCCATTGCAGGGCTTCATCCCAGGACCCCGAGATCATGACCAGAGCCAGAATTAAGAGTTGGATGCTCGATAGACTGAGCCACCCAGGTGCCCCAAGTGACTATATTTTTAAGAGTACTTAGGTTCTGCTTATTTTGGACATAGTTTGGCTTAGGCACATCTCTTGGTTTCATTTGACAAAGGTTGTAGGTCCCCTACTCACCATCTCTTTTTGTATGGTTGCAGGTTTCCTGTTTTAGGTGATTTTTGTTCAGGAGAGCACCCACTTTATTTTAGGAAACACGGCACAAATACTACATGTTGAGGTAGTTTCAGTAATTTAGAATGAATTTGGAATTGATGTTCTTTTTTTTTTAATATTTTTTTTCTTTATTTATTTATGATAGTCACACACACAATGAGAGAGAGAGAGGCAGAGACACAGGCAGAGAGAGAAGCAGGCTCCATGCACCGGGAGCCCGACGTGGGATTCGATCCCGGGTCTCCAGGATCGCGCCTTGGGCCAAAGGCAGGCGCCAAACCGCTGCGCCACCCAGGGATCCCTGATGTTCTTTTTTTTCAGAGTTTGTCAGTAATAAGAGCGAATTTTAACTCTTTACTGTCGTGTTATCACTGGAGTGACAAAAAAAATTTCGCTAGTGAAAACCAGAATTGCAAAAAAAAAAAAAAAAAAAAGGAAAAGAAAACCAGAATTGCTGTTGCTGAAGTAGAAGGCCCTTCTAGGATTTCCTTGTTTCCTATGCAGAATCTCTAGGTTAGAAGGCTGGTATTTGATGTTGTTTTATGCTAACATGAGAGCTTTAGAGATTGATGCATTTGTGTGACTGGTTTTATACTTTTACCTGAGTTTCTAGACCCTGAGTGATCTATTAATTCCCTGCCTTTTGCACAATAGGATTTTAGCGTTGGAGAAGCTAGGTGCTGTCTTCAATCAAGTAGCCTTTCCACTGCAGTACACACCCAGGAAATTTGTCATTCACCCTGAGAGCAACAACCTTATCATAATTGAGACAGACCACAATGCCTATACTGAAGCGACAAAGGCTCAGAGGAAGCAGCAGATGGCAGAGGTAATGTAATGAGACTGACCTTCAAGGTTCAGCTAAAAAGCATTCATGTGAAATTTTGTTGAAAAGTTTAAACTCGTGTAATTGTTGATTATATTCTCTGTTAGATTAAAAAAGACCCAGTCTGGGATGCCTGGGTGACTCAGAGGTTGAGTGTTTTGCCTTTGCTCAGAGTGGGATCTCGGGGTCTGGTGATCGAGTCCCACATCAGGCTCCCTGTGAGGAACCTGTTTCTGTCTCTGTTCGCTCTCTCTCGCGCGCGCGCTCTCTCTCTCTCTCTCTCTCTCTCTCTCTCTCTCTCTCATAAATAAATAAATAAATAAATAAATAAATAAATAAATAAATAAATAAATAAATAAAATGTTAAAAAAAAAAAAAGACCCAGGCTTTTGTCAGGTCCTTTAAGCAGACCCCTTTGCCTGAATCCTTGTTTTTAGAGATTATCTTGTGACTCAGGACTAATACACTGACCTGGGTTTATTCAGTATTCAGCTTTCCTTTTGAAACAGAGTTCTTCAGTCCTTGAGCTTCCCAGTTTATGTATGTGTTTCCTGGATTCAGGCCCAAAGGAGACAGATTTCATTTTCTCCGTAACACTAGTTCTTTCCAGAAATCATCTCCTAGCAAAAAAACAAATAGCTCCAACCATGTAAAGCTGTGTCTGGCCTGGAAGAGATGAGACAAGGATTTGTAGCAAGGGAAATCAGATGGGATAGGTAGAAAAGTGGTGTTTTCATTTTATGTATCTCAGACCACTTTTCAGGTATTTGCCGTAGTTGATGTTAGGGTTTTTTTGGGCATTAAAAAATGAAGTACCTGGTTTCCCCTTTAGTGGTTTTCCCTCTTCCCCTTATCTGTATACCTCTCCCTTTAATCTTTACTTTATAGGACATTTGTTTTTGGCCTACAGACTTGGCTACTTACATGATATGAATTCCCCCTGGAGGTGTTGTATACTTGTCCACTTCTCACCCACTACCTACCTCTGAATATACCGACTCTTCCTTGTTTTTTTTTTTTTTTTTTTTAAGGTTTTATTTATTTATTCGTGAGAGATAGAGAGAGAGGCAGAGATATAGGCAGAGGGAGATGCAGGCTCCTCTCAGGGAGCCCGATGCAGGACTTGGTCCTTGGACCCCGGGATCACATCCTGAGCCCAAGGCAAGACCCTCAGCCGCTGAGCCACCCAGATGTCCCATCTTCCCTGTTTTGTGTGTTTGTTTTGTGTTTTTGTGATTGATTGATTGATTGATTGGTTGATTTTAGGAAATGGTAGAAGCAGCAGGAGAAGATGAGCGGGAGCTTGCTGCTGAAATGGCAGCAGCATTCCTCAATGAAAACCTCCCTGAGTCCATTTTTGGAGCTCCTAAGGCTGGCAATGGGCAGTGGGCTTCTGTGATCCGAGTGATGAATCCTATTCAAGGGAACACGCTGGACCTTGTCCAGCTAGAACAGAATGAGGCTGCTTTTAGGTAAGGAGCACAGGATATCCAAGGTTTTGGGAGCTGGAATGAGAATACCTTATAACTAATGCCTGACTCCTGCTTCTTTCTCTTTTTGCAGTGTGGCTGTGTGTAGGTTCTCTAACACTGGTGATGATTGGTATGTCTTGGTGGGCGTGGCCAAAGACCTGATCCTCAACCCCAGGTCTGTGGCAGGAGGCTTTGTCTATACCTACAAGCTCGTGAACAATGGGGAAAAACTGGAGTTTTTGCACAAGGTAGGAACCAGCCAGTGGTACTCCTGTGTCTCTGGTCCAACTGAACTCTCCCACTTTTGCTTAAGTTGTGGGTCAGGTCTTTTGGTGACCATTTTGGGAGCCAGCTCATTGATTATGTTCCGTCTCTTGGTGGGACACAGGAAACGCTCTGGCTTTCATGCTTCAGTGAAGCTCCACTGCCTGGGGGTCCACAGGAAGCCTGTGTTCTAACCATCCACAATGATGACTTAGATACACACCGAACTGGCCCCTTGTTTATTGCTTTTACTAAGCAGACAGCAATTTGTGACCAAAATCTAGTAGATCTAAATAATTAATAATCTCTGGAGAAATGCCTTTAATGGATAGTTTCCCTTTGGAAAAATAAAGTTCTGGGGATGGTGGTGGTGGTTGCACAACACTGAAAATGTTTGATGTTATTGAATTGTATACTTAAAATTGGAAAATGAAAAATTTTATGTGTATTTTATCACAGTTTTAAAAATAAGGGAAAAATTTTCTGTTCTTCCACATGGACAACAAATGCATGTAGTTCCTCTAGCCCTTTGAAGCACAGGGGAGTGTCCCCTAGAAAATAACTACTCGTGGACTTTTTTGCGTGTTAAACTCATTGTATCTCCCTTGAAACTAAGAAGTCACTTGTCACTCCTTTCCCATCCCTCCACAACCAGCAGTCACTTTTTTGATATTGAGGCTTCACTGTTAGTGGCACCAGTTGAATTAACACAGGCTCTAAGACCACATTCATTAGGCCCCTTTGACTTGTGGCATTGATCCATTTGCTGAGTGATTTGCAGTGTGTGGGACCTGTTTACGCAACCACCCCATTTCCTAGAGACTGTTGTATGTGTGGTTTATTTCTCTGATGAGCCAAAGGTGATCACTCACTGTCTCTTGTAAAAACATTTTTGGTTGAGAGGGTGGGGCTAGCCTATGGCTGGTGTCCTAATAGCTACATTACCTGCTTTTTTTTCCTCACAGACTCCAGTGGAAGAGGTCCCTGCTGCCATTGCCCCATTCCAAGGGAGAGTATTGATTGGTGTGGGGAAGCTTCTGCGAGTTTATGACCTAGGGAAGAAGAAATTACTCCGAAAATGTGAGAACAAGGTAAATATGCTGGTTACAGGATTTCAGATCTAGCTAGGGAGACAGGAGGAAACATTGACAGAACTGTGGACAGTAACTTAAAATCATGTGTCCTTATTAGGACCTTGTATTTTCCCAATTCCAGCCTTATTAGGCCTTTTAGACTTGAGAAGGACAGAAGTTAGGTGGGTTTCTTGATTTCTTCATACTAAGAACCGGATTTCTGTCCTGCTTGCTTCTATAGGGTATTTGAGAATTGAACATATCCTTCCACTATAGTAAAACCAGTTCTTTTTCTATCTTTTAAGAGTTTATTGCTGACTGCCATTCTGTAGGCCCTATGTATATATTGCAGTCGGGGGAAGTTGGACTTTCTGTGGGTTCTGTGAATCTCAAGGTTACACCCATTGCTGTCCTTGTTTTTCCCAGCATATTGCCAATTACATCTCTGGGATCCAGACTATTGGGCACAGGGTAATTGTGTCTGATGTCCAAGAAAGTTTCATCTGGGTTCGATATAAGCGTAATGAGAACCAGCTCATCATTTTTGCCGATGATACTTACCCACGATGGGTCACTACAGCTAGTCTCCTGGACTATGACACTGTGGCTGGGGCAGACAAGTTTGGCAACATTTGTGTGGTGAGTTGATGTTTACATGGATTACATTGATGTCTAAGAAAGGTCTCTCAGTGGTAAAACCAAGGACCCAGGGCTATGATCTCTAATATGGAAAGTAATTTAATAGTAGGATGTTTCGTTTGAGCTAATGAGTAATATTTATTTTTACTTGGCCGACATTTTGGCTTCTCTTTCTGAGCCCAGTTTGACTTAACCTTATTTATATGTTCTATAGTCTTTGTTTTGTTCTTGCTCATGGGTTGATTTTCTTGATTTGTCACTCAGACACCAGGTTGCAGGAGATAGGCTCAGGCCTCTGCCAAAGGTGATGATGTTCCAGGCTTGCTTTCAAGGATATGGGGCAAACATGTTACTTGGTGATCTAGGTGTGTAGGTGCAGGACCCAGCCCTGTGACTTGTGTCATTTCCTTGTAGGTGAGGCTCCCACCTAACACCAATGACGAAGTGGATGAGGATCCCACAGGAAACAAAGCTCTGTGGGACCGGGGCTTACTCAATGGGGCCTCTCAGAAGGTAAGATTGCAGAAGGATCCTGAAGGAGAGGTACCAGCCTGCAGGGTACATTTCCCATGACCCATATTGAGGGAACATTTTTTAGCTGCCTGCAGTGCACTGGGTACTCTCCTGTGTGTGGAAATCCTTTCAGTCATCAATCCTGTGATGCATATTTGCTGGGCTTGATGTAAAATGACCAAGTCACCATTTGATTTTTGTGACTGCAGAAATAGAATTTTTCCAGACATCTTAGTAGTGACTAGAGCATAGTGAGTTCCTTGGAAAAAATTTTGCGCAGGGTCATTCTGATATTAGCCAGTTCTTCTCTCAGGGGTTGTTCTGGGCTCTTTTCTCTGGTAGGCATGTGCTTCTAGAACATCTCTGGATTTTTAAAAGCTGATCCATTTTAGAGAGCAAGTCTAATAATGATTGCTGCTTTTTAATAATTATCTGTGGGTTGTTTTTTTTTTTTTTTTTTTGCAAACTTGGTAATTTAACAAAATATTTTTCCATTGTAATTGTTCATCAGAAATGATCTAACTTTAGCTATGTGAGGACATTAATCTCAAATGTTAAGAACATTCTAAAGTATTTTTATTTTTTTATAAAGGTAATTTTTTTTTAAAGATTTTACTTATTCATGAGAGAGAGAGAGAGAGAGAGAGAGAGAGAGAGAGAGAGAGAGGCAGAGAGAGAAGCAGGCTCCATGCAGGAAGCCCGATGTGGGACTCAATCCTTGGACCCCAGGATCATGCCCTGGGCCAAAGGCTCAACTGCTGAGCCCCCAGGTGTACCACTGTAAAGTATTTTTAAATCTTAGTAATGTTTGGATTTGAAAGGAGGTGAAATCCTTTTGAGGCACTGCTTGCTCTTGGAAATCTAGAATGGGTGGAGGGCACACATTGTTAATAGTCTGTTTTTTACTTACAGGCAGAGGTGATCATGAACTACCATGTGGGTGAGACAGTGCTATCATTACAGAAGACCACACTGATCCCCGGAGGCTCTGAATCACTTGTCTATACCACCTTGTCAGGAGGAATTGGCATCCTTGTCCCGTTCACATCCCATGAGGTGAAATCTCCCATACTCTTTGATCTTTGCCTTTTTACAAGGTTAATTCTTGGTGCTAAATCAGCCTAAGACGGCAAATCTTTTGTCCCTACCTGCAACTAGTCATGTTCTAGAAATTTTATAAGGTGACAGAAGTGCCTACAAGATAAGAATCCTGATTCCCCCTGCTGGAAAGCCATTTGTTTTTATACTGTACCCAGGTTTGGTTCAGTTCTTTTTTAAAGATTTATTTATTTTTAGAGAGGGAGCGAGTGGGAGGAAGGGGAGGTGCAGAGCAAGAGAGGGAGAGAGAATCTTCAAGCAGAGTCTCCTCTGAGCATGGAGCCCACCTATGTGGGGCTCAATCCTAGGACCCTGAGATCATGACCTGAGCCAAAGGTCAAGAGTTGGATGCTTGACAGACTGAGCCACCGAGGCACCCTGGGTTTGGTTTAGTTCTGTTATGGTACAGGTTTTGTTACCCCTACAGATTAGGAATGATGGGTGATATAGACTGTATTTACTGCCTCCTTGAATTGACTCTAGGACTGACTAAATTAGGTTTCTGTCATTTCAGCTTAGGAAGCTGGGATCAGGAATCTGACTTCACAAATCAGTCTATATGTATAGTGTTCTCTTGTGTTCTTCAAATAATAGGTGGGGTTTCTTTCAGGCTTTAGGTATCTTGTAGGAGGAAAACCTGTAGTTGTCAGAGGAGCAATTTGATAGTTAACATCTGTTTGGATGGTTATTTAAAAAAAAAAAAGAATGGCTTGTCTGTTTGTTGTGCTTCTGAAAACCATAGACTAGTAGTTGAAATCACTTTCTTCTTTTAGTGACAGATTCATTATTTTTTCCACCAGGACCATGACTTCTTCCAGCATGTGGAAATGCACCTACGGTCTGAGCATCCCCCTCTCTGTGGGCGAGACCACCTCAGCTTTCGTTCCTATTACTTCCCTGTTAAGGTAGGTCTTTGTTGGAAATCTGGGCTGAAAAGGGAGACTCTTGGTCCATATAATTAGTCTTTTCTGTGTACCTCCCTCCCTTAAAAATCAGAAACAGTTGGGGCAGCCCCCGTGGCTTAGCGGTTTAGCACCGCCTTCAGCCCAGGGTGTGATCCTGGAGACCCGGGATTGAGTCCCACATCAGGCTCCCTGCGTGGAGTCTGCTTCTCCCTCTGCCTGTGTCTCTTGTGAATAAATAAATAAAAAATCTTAAAAAGAAAAAAATCAGAAACAGTCCTGAACAAAGGAGCATCAAAGGGGAGTGGATTGATGGAGGCAGTAATGCGGGAGTGGAATGGCTAATGATATTTAGGGACCTCTTCCCCCAGGGCAGACCACAAGCCAGAGAAAAGCCTTCACCCAGTTTTGCTATTCTGAACACAGGATACTAAGGATGAACTTCGTGTTCCTGGTTTTAAGACAGTGGTTCACATATCTGAGAGAATAAAAGCTTTCTTTACAGGTGCTTTAGCATGTGCCACTTTCTTTGAGAATCTTACCTCTTTCTTCCTCACTTTTCTATGTCTTAGAATGTGATAGATGGAGACCTCTGTGAGCAGTTCAACTCCATGGAGCCCAACAAACAGAAGAACGTCTCTGAAGAACTGGACCGAACTCCACCTGAAGTGTCCAAGAAGCTTGAGGACATCCGGACCCGCTATGCCTTCTGAGCCCTTCCTTTTCCTGTGGGGCTTGTGTCAGAGACTTTGTTTTGTTTCCCTCACCATCTGGCTCTGAACCAATGGCAGAGGAAGGGTGGCTGGATAATTAAGACTTTGTAATATTAACGCTAGTTAGTCTTTCCTGTCCACTCTTTCCCTGGAGTGACTGGTTCCCCCTAAAACTGGCACTGAAATTTGCGCTGCTTCTTTCTGCCTAGTGCATAGTACATTGCTCCCAGGTTTTGGTGTGTAATAAGATGTTCCCTCAGCCCCAAAGCCTTCCCTGCATTGATATTTCTGGCTCTCTTGTCTACTTTTGTATACACCCTTAGTTTTTAACTGGCTTTCCTGTAAATATAGTTTTGTACAATGTTATCTTTGTGGGAGGGAGGGTGGGAGGGAGTTAAGCTGAGGTGGGGACCAGGTGAAATATAGTGTAACTCCTGAGTTCTGCCACTCTGCACTCTAACCCGAAATACAAATCTAGTTTTTAAGGTGGCTTGTGTCCATGTGTCTTTTCTGGGGGCGAGAATTTAGGTGGGAGATTTGAGCCTGAGTTGGAGCAGAAAGAATGGAGTATTCTTTTTTCCAGCTACCTGCTTGTACTTCCGGCACCCTGTGGCCTCCCACTCCCAGCTCTGTGGTGCTGGTTTGGCTTCCTCTAGTTCTTTTTGCTATGCAGATGCTACATGGGCTCTGTAATAACCATGTGGTGAGCCATGCCTCTTCGCATTGGATATTGAGGTTGGTGGCTGATTTCTTCTCCCCTGTTTTAGCTTCCTTCTACTTTGAGGTCTTGGTATGCATTCCAGCTAGGTAGTCTCTTAACAGATGCTCCCTTTACTTCTACAGCTCCTGAAATGATCGTTTGCCATATGACTCCTAGGAAAGATCAGTAAGTACAGAAAAACCCAGATACTAACCTGCCCTTGAGAACAGTCAGTATATGTGGTCCCTGTTTAAAGGCTCATGGGTAACCAACCATTGGGGGCGGGAAAAGGGGAGTCCTGTCTGCAGTGGACATCTTAGACAAGCTCTGGAGGGCCTTGGAGTCTGAGGAGGTAGCACTATTAACCTGTCAGCTGCAAGTGTCCTGATGTCAAATGTTCTGGCCCACACCTGAAAAGGCTGCCTTAATCTTCCAGGCAGTTCCCCAGCTTCTTTGAACCTGGAGAGACCTTAGCTCACTGCTGTGAGATCAGTCTTTCACAAAGTAAAATATTCCTGTGCGTAGGCTCAGCCACTCCACAAACAGATTCTCTGTGGCTAGTACTGGTTTGGAATCAGGAATGGAGATGATTAGACAACAGCATTTGGCCCTGGGCAGCCTATACTCCAGGGTTGAGAGGGTCACTGATGCTGCCCCTGAAGCTGTGGATCTCTTTAATCTTGATTAGGTTTTAGAGCCAGCAGTAGAACAGATTTTGCCAGGAGTTGAATCCCTAGGTAACATTCTTTCTCAGTTATCTCACTGGTTCATTTAGCAGATGACGCTTTTGAATTGTTTTCATGGCCTAATTCCAGGGGTCTCATTTTTTTTCTGTGGCCCCTACCTAAACCCATTTCGTTTAGTCTGTTAGATTGTATGATGTTAACATGTAGTAGTCTGGGAGACTTGGTATTGATGTTTGAGTAGCAGTGTCTTAGTCCCAGTTTTTTCCTGAGTTTGTCATTGGGGGTTTATGTAAGAAAGGAAAACCTGATCTCTGTATAGAATTAGGAATTGTCTTTTTTTGGATGGTATAAACAAGTTTATTAACAAAATCACAGCCAAGGGAAAGAGGACACTGCATGCCATGCAAGATGATGTGGGGATTGTACTTAACTCAGTAAATAGCTTGGGGCTTTGAGAGGGAGACAGGTTTTATAATACCAAGAAGGTGGGTGCCTCCTTCCGGGGGGGGAAGATATGATTGTGATTGTCTTGTTTAAATAAATCCATAGACCAGCATGCATTGAAACCTGCTGCCTAGAGGGGACAGGAACTGTCTAGTCCTTTGATAATGAGGGTTGTTTAGCTTAGGGAACCTTATTTGTTTTTTGTTTTGTTTTTTTAATATTTTATTTACTTATTCATGAGAGACCTAGAGAGGCAGAGACACGGGCAGAGAAAGAAGCAGGCTCTGTGCAGGGAGCCCGATGTGGGACTCAATTCTGGGACTCCAGGATCACACCCTGGGCCAAAGGCAGGCTTCAAACCACTAAGCCACCCAGGGATCCCCCCCGAGACCCTTATTCATAAGAGCAGAGTTGGGAGGGAAGCTTGCAATTAGGCCATTTGAAGCCTTTTTGGTTTTACAGCATTTAATATTAAATCTTAATTTTAGATCTTTTACCACAGCTGGGAAATGTATTGTTACCTGATTATTGCCCCACTGGAGAGCTACAGGTAGGCCAGGGCAAAGGCTTCAATATTATGAGATTCTCTTTCCCATTCCTCTATTACCCAAAGCCCAGGGAAAATGATGACAAACTCAGTGGAATTGTCACTGAAATGTGGGTTGGGTATTGTAAAAGGTTAACTGGTAGGTGACAGCAGATCATGAGCTAATAATATTCTGAGTATTATACTAATAAAAAGCAAGTAAGAAATTCACAGGGCCTGCTCAGTTGAACTTGATAGCCTAGTAAGGAGAAAAGGCTTTCAAATGTGACATAGTCAAAATGTGTTTATAGTAGAAAGCTAGGATCAGGCAACATCTGGTTTGGCCAGATAATAGCTGAGTTAATTTGGACAAACCATTTAAAATTTATGGGCCTTGGTTCCCAGATTTGTAAGTTTAGTAAAGGGAGAGATGTCATATAAGCTGCAAGCAAGTCCCTTAATGTGTTGCTTGGTTCCTAAAGAGTCCCAATATTTATCAAAAAAGAGTGACCCTGTATCTTCTGTTTGTATGTTTTATTTTTTTCTTAAGTTTCCCTAATCATGAAAATCATCCCTTAAGCCACTCAATATAGATTCCTGGGCATTTTCCCCTAAAGATTCTGAAACACTAAGTCTGGAATGGGAACTTATAAACTCACAACCCTGAGTTCAGTCAAGTCTTTGCCTTGCCTCTATGAGTAGATGTGTGACATTGTCCAGGCAGGTTGGCATCTCACCTGTAACATGGAGATAAAACAGAATTGTGAGGATAAAATGAGAGCATTTATCCAAAATGCCTAGCACATTGTAAGTGCTTATTAAGCCAAACCTGAGCTCTTAATATACTTGGGACTTAGGTCAGGAAGCCAGTGAAGTCTTGGATTTTCCTTAGAAGTCACTGAAGAAAAAAAATAAAAATAAAAAAATTAAAAAAAAAAAAAAAAGAAGTCACTGAAGAACCATAGACTGAGTCTCCTTCCCTCCACACCTTGTACACGTTACAATGTTTTCTTTCTCCCTTACATGATTTGCTTTTGATGTATATTGACTTTCTCACATTCTCTGTTGGTGTAGCCAAATGGGTGCTGGATGAGATAGAGTTTTGAGGGATACACAGATAACATTTCAATTCCATAACTGAGGGGCCTTCGCTAGATTTGAGTTCTCTACCAGGATTTTAACACATGGAAAGATTTTCTTTTTTATCCCCTCAGCTTTGAAATATAATTGACATACATCACTGTGTAAGTTCACTTTTTTTTTTAAGATTTTATTTTTTTAATCATGAGAGGCACACAGAGAGAGGGGCAGAGACCTAGGCAGAGGGAGAAGCAGGCTCCATGCAGGGAGCCCGATAAGGGGCTCGATCCTGAGACTCCAGGATCACTGTATAAGTTTAAAGGGTATACAGCATAATGGTTTGACTTACATATATTTTCAAGTGATTATATTCAATATCTCCGATAAAAGGATATTAGTTTTTTTCTCCTTTTGAGCACTTAAGATCTACTCTCTTAACTTTCATATATAGCACATAGCCGTGCTAACTATAATCATGTACACCTCGAATATTTATGACTGAAAAAAAATTTTTTTTTAATGACTGGGAATTTATACCTTCTGACCGACCACATTACTCTAGCATTGCTGCACCCTCCATTCCCAACTGTCGATTTCTTCTTTTTTTTTTTTTAATTTTTATTTATTTATGATAGTCACACAGAGAGAGAGAGAGAGGCAGAGACACAGGCAGAGGGAGAAGCAGGCTCCATGCACCGGGAGCCCGATGTGGGATTTGATCCCAGGGATCCCCCAACTGTCGATTTCATCTCTTTTTAGGAGTTTGATGTTTTTTTAGATTGTACATATAAGTGAGGTCATACAGTGTTCTTCTGTTTGACTTATTTCACTTAGCATAATGCTCTTAGGGTCCATCAGTGTCACAGATGTCAAGATTTCCTTGTGATTTTTTTAAATGACCAAATAATACTCCATTGCATGTATGCATATATGTATGCATATACCAAAATTTGTTTTTATTAATTTTTTAAAAAGATTTTATTTATTCATGAGAGACACAAAGAGAGGCAGAGACACAGGCAGAGGGAGAAACAGGCTGCATGCAGGGAACCCGATGTGGGACTGGATCCTGAAAGTATCTGCATGGTATCATCCAACATGATACCGGAATCATGCCCTGAGCTAAAGGCATACGCTCAACCACCGAGCCACCCAGGTGTCCCCAATTTTTTTTTTCCAGTTTAGTTAACATCAGTGTTATATTGTGTTTCAGTGTTTGAGGTGTACAATTATATAGTGATTCCACAGTTCTGTACATTAGTGCTCATCATGCTAAGTGTACTTATAATTCCTATCACCTTTTTCCCCTATTCCCCTCACCCACCTCCCCTCTGGTAACTGTTTGTTTAAGGGTCTGTTTCTTGGTTTGTCTCTCTTTTTTCTCTTTCTTCATTTTGTTTCTTAAATTCCATATATAAGTGAGATCATATGGTATTTGTCTTTATCTCACTGAATTTCACTTAGCATTATACTCTCTAGCGGCATCCCTGTCATTGGAAATGGCAAAATTGCATTCTTTTTTATGGCTGAATATTTCTTTGTGAGGGTACACACACACACACACACACACAGACACATCTTTACTCATCTATTGATGGGCACTTTGGTTGCTTCATAATTTGGCTATTGCAAATAATGTTGCTATAAATAGAAGTGCATGTATCCCTTTGAATTAGTGTTTTTGTCTTTTTGGGGTGAAAACCTGGTAGTGATTACTGGATAGTAGGGTAGTTATATTTTTAACTTTTTGAGGAAACTTCGTATTGTTTCCACAGTGGCTGTACCAGTTTGCGTTCTCACTAGCTGTAGAAGGGTTCCTTTTTCTCCATATCCTCACCAGCACTTGTTTCTTGCTTTTGATTTTAGCCGTTCTGACAGGTGTGAGTTGATACCTTATTGTGGTTTGATTTGCATTTCTCTGTTAATGAGTGATGTTAATCATCTTTTCATGTGTCTGTTGGCCA